GCATTGTTCTTAAATTTTACATAAGTTTTCGTTATAATTATAATCTCAGCAACAATCTCCTCCTCAGTTACACTAAACTGTTCATTTTACGCTACAACAAACGTACACTTAGTATTTACATAAGCAGTTTGCTGTTAGTTCAGCTCCAAGATCCATATGCGTTGTTACGGGGGTCTTAGCCTATGTAAGAACTTGCCACCAAAGTGTGAATTGGTTTAGCTCGAGTTCAAAGCATCATCTTGTAACCTACACCACTCTCAAAGTAGCGAACCCTCCAAAGCTTACAAACTTCTCCGAATAAAGTTGATTGCTACTGATAACCCTCTTTGTGCGGGGAAATTAGATGGATCACCATTTAAAGCTAAGGGTCCCTCCTTGATCGGCTAAAGTTTATTAGAATTGCACGTGCACATCAGCGTGGGTGTTCCAAAGCCTCAAACCTTCTTATACCCATACAGATTAGATGTTCATTTCCAAGCAATCCATGAATGCCGATTCTCAAGTTTCGCAAGTAAGAGCATTTCGAGTTATGGAAATCTTTCTCTACGTGTCCTCGCTATGCTTATTGCTTAACTACCCGTAAAGCCTACCAATGCCGGGAGGCTCGTACGACAAACTTCATCGACTTGGTAATTAAAAAGATGGTTTATCGTGAACACCGTTTCTCCTTGAGACTCTGAACAGTTAATTCAATTACGGGTGTCTTTATTGACGAAGATCCACCCTGATTTTGTCTGGGGTACCTTGTAAGCCGGGAGGCCTGTTTTCTTAGCATTGTCGCTCTGTTTTCGGATTCGCTCACTGGAAAGCCACAATGCCCCCTAGCACTGTGGTAGAGGGCGGAGTGTTGATGCGTGGAGTCCTCAAGGGGTTGTCTAAACCCTCCAGTGACTTCGATAACTGGTCTTAAAGAGACTGATTGAGGGGGGATTGTACCCAGGGGCATTTTGTCTCAATTATGGTAAACAAGGCTATTATAATAAACAAAAGGTGAATGAGTGTTTAAGTGTATTCCAGACTTGTGTTTCATTATAGAGAGATAACCCTCACTGGTGGTCGCGGAAACAACAACACTGTCTCCGCCGTGTTGCAACACTGGCCTTGAATCGAAAATCATGCTTGGTTGCGATATTTCATAGATTTTTAAATTATAGAAACATAAACTCAAAAAATTATTTATTGGCATGTACCTTAAAAGATATGCCAATTTGCATGCAATTTGAAATCTAAAAACTAAAAATGAAAAATGGTTATTTTAGGGTTATCCGGTAAAGAGAAAAATGTTTTAATATTTTAGGTTTCTTTGTTTTGTATATTTTTTACTTTATCAATTTGATTACACCTAAGGACTCCATGATGTTTTCGTACATTCGACAATTGATTGATGATACACATGTATTAATCGTTTCACCATTTTGAAATAATCGATCGAAGTTTATGAAAAAGTCTACATTTACTAGCATATGATGAGTATTGATACATCATAATAAAAACTTGACATTTATAATAATAATTAACTAAAAATTGTTTTATCTGTTTCAAATAAATATTTTTTGACATACCATAATGACATTCCAACAATTCAAAAACGGCATAGTAACGGCATAGCAATATTCAAGCAAACAAATTATGGGTATTATTATGCTGTCACCATCTTTCCAAGTGACCATGACAGAACAGATTAAATAAGCTGAATTCAAAAACGGCATGTACTGTGGTAATGGCGTCAGAATGAAGTATGTTTAAGCAAATGAATTATGCTTATTATAATGCTGTCACCATCTTTACAAGTGACTATGATACAACAGTTTAAATAAGCTGAATTCAAAAACGGTATGTACTGTGGTAATGGCGTCAGAATGAAGTATGTTTAAGCAAACGAATTATGCTTATTATAATGCTGTCACCATCTTTACAAGTGACTATGATACAACAGTTTAAATCAGCTGAATTCAAAAACGCCATGTACTATGGTAATGGCGTCAGAATGAAGTATTTTTAAGCAAACGAATTATGCTTATTATAATGCTGTCACCATCTTTACAAGTGACTATGATACAACAGTTTAAATCAGCTGAATGCAAAAACGCCATGTACTATGGTAATGGCGTCAGAATGAAGTATTTTTAAGCAAACGAAATATGCTTATTATAATGCTGTCACCATCTTTACAAGTGACCATGACAGAACAGATTAAATAAGCTGTACTAAAAATGTAACATTTTGATTGTGTACAGAAAATGCACTTGCTATTCAGATCATACATTATTGTTTGAGAACACTATCACTCTCAACTCCCTTTAACATGGATATTAAATCTTTATTCGACTTTGAAATGTATCTAAATTTCCATTTTACGCTTTTCAGATAGCAAGATTCATCCGTCACTAAATGTGATTATATTTTTCAGTTTTGCATTACGAAACAAATGTAATGGAATTTTATGTCCTATTTAATCACGTGACCTTTCATGCAGTAAACAGTTTCAATAGCATATTTCTAAACTGAAATACCCATAAACGTTACAAGGTTTTCAAACCGTATAGGCTGATATAGGCTCCGAAACAATGCAAAGGGAAGGGTGAAAACCGAGCTTTGTTACCAAATACCCAACTATCAAATACATCACTATGGAATAGCTATTTGTTTGTTTAATTTTTTGCAGCCATCAAACAAGGATGTATACTTCCTTTAGCCCGAAAGAATCTCAATTCTATGATATAAGACGATATCGATTAGCTCGTCTGTGTATTGGTTTCCACTTCTCTCAACAAATAATTCCGTCATTTTCTTACGGATATTCCACTATGTTATAACAAGATGTCTTATTCCAGGTAATACAAAAATTGGACACGAAATCACCAGAGATTTGATAAAGATGAGCTGTTAATGCATCAAACCGAACACCTCAGTGGTTACGATCCTTTAAAAAGCTGTGTAAAAATATAATCAGTCTAATGCCACCCAAAAAAGAAATAACCAGTCTACTATCACCATATCAAATAACGTTTATAAATATGATTTTTCTGGAAAGAATAAATTGTTACAAAGAAAACGGGAAAATATATTCAAGTCTTTGCCTTCGTAAAAGGAAGATGTCTCAAAGATTCGATTCCCCACATGGGTACAATGTGTGAAGCCCATTTCTGGTGTCTCCCGCAGTAATATTGCTGGAATATTGCTAAAAGCGGCATAAAACTAAATTCACCCACTCAAAGATTCGAAACACCGAATATGCTGGTAAGAATTGTAGCGATTGCCGGGACGAGATATCTAGACTGTTCAGAGACAAGAGAGTTAAATGACATATCCGTCACATTATCTTCGGTGTTTCGGAACACAAATTACCGGACAGCATGTGACCTGTATAATTGCTCTGTAGGTAAATATTCCGGGAAAAGTTGTTAATTACAACGTCATAGCTTAGGGCAGCTGGCAACATTTGGTCAGGTACAAATAATTACGGATAATTATACAGTTCCATGCTAACACGATATTGTCTGATACAATGCTATAACTATCTACTACTGTTATAACGTGGTAATCTATTATGACAGTGTCACGCGCGACCTCAATTAAGGAATTAGTTTTGGGGTCAAATGTGTGGATGATTTTTGGAGGAATATTTCTAACATCCTTTCAAAATAATATTATGATATCCGGTTAAAAGATGTAAAATCAGCAAATTCAACATAACATGAAAATTTGATATAGTCTTTTTTGTATGTGTAATATCGTGCTTTCTATTAGGTACAACATATTCTAAAATGCATTATTATTATTTCAAGTACATTATTTTAGAAAGGAAATAAAATTGGTAACTAGTAAACAATATCAACCAATTTTACGATTCGATCTTCTATGAGTAATTTGTGTCTTGTAAATACTGTTTAACATTTCAAACATCATTTCCTATATGTTGTGCATGCATGGATGATTGCATCATTTCTGTAAAAAATGTTGTGACGATTCAAACTCGTTTAAAATACAGAATTAAACATTGACGAATATGTTCGTTTAAAGAAAATTACAGTATTATACCATCTTGTACCGTTTCTCAGCATGAAGGTTGAGATTTCGTACTGTTATATCTCTGTTGCTATCTCTGTAGCAAGAAAAATGTCCCACGGGAAAAGAACGCTTATCTTATTATTTAATATTATTATTTCATAATGTACAAATCTGCCTTGCATGTTGTCCCCACTCTATTATGCATTAAAGTCAGACACTTCAGACTGACTTCAATTATTTTTTTAGAATTATTTCTAAAACTATGTAACAGTCCGCAGGGGCGGATACAGCTTTTTGAGAAAGGGGGGTGCACACTATTGAGAAAAGGAGGGGTGCACACTTCATTTTCACCCGAGTTTCAATGGTCATTTAACAAACTTTCAGCACAAAAGGGGGTGCGCACCCCTGACCCCCCACCCTCTAGATCCGCCTATGGTCCGCCATGAGATATTTTCTTTAATTCAAAATAAGAAAATTCGTATCTGTCTCCAAACACATCTTAACTGCAATTGTGGTCCATTTCTTCTAATACCGTCTCAGACATATTTACATGTTTTACATGAATTCCCCGTGCTGCACGTGAAAGGGTTGTTTACCCGCAAACGGCGACAGTTAGGTGTTGCTAATTGCATGGTGTGTATCTTGGAGATTGAGGGTTATCTGTAATAGGATGTTTTCTTGTAAGAGCGTGATCTGCGCTGCCCGTTATTTCACGCCAATGCGGGGATTTTAGCGATTTCTTTTGTGTCCATTACTTGTTTCATTTCCTCGTTCTTTTGTTGTTCTTTCAATAACTCTTCACCCTCAATTTTCTCTCTGCGCTGGCTGCAATTGGATCGCGACAGGAGAAACGACTTAGGCCGTGCCCTGCGCTCTGATTGGTCAATTGAACTGCGGGTCAGGGGGTGATATTATTGCAGATCTTCACAATAAGTGCCGCCTCCTCGATGGTTTATAAACTACACCAGAAAGCTTGCTGTTTATATCACTCTTGGCTCTCTACAAGGAAGGATCTGCCTCAGAGTTAAAAACATTGCACACTTGAAGTTAATTGTATTTGAAGAAACGAATTTATCACAAGATTTCTTCGATTCTTGGATTTATTTCGTGGACATTTACTGCCGTGGCATTTCTTTGCTGTTTCTCCGATTAAGAAGTTGTAACTTTTGATTTAAAATTTGATTTAATTTTAATATCAAAACTTCAAAATGCAGGCCGGAGCTTATGCTGAGAACGGTATGTCGCCTTATCTACTTTGGCCATACATGCAAATGTATCCTACTCAGAAACAGGAAGACTGGTCTGTTCATCCCGCGTTTATGCAGACCTTACCTACCTGTCAAGTGTACTGTCGACCCCAAGGTACATTCAAAGGATCCCCAAAGTCCGCTGCGTTCACCATAGATGCCATTTTGAGTGGGGACGGGAAATCTCCTGAACGTGCACTGGATAACAAGCCTTACCCCACAGGATGTGACACCACCCCCAGACAGCGTTATGCGGACCCGGGGTACACCAGCCGCCGTCACCAACGTCTACAGGCCTCCAACCCCTACCCCAGCCACCGTCAGACCCACAGCCCCACCCTCAGCGATGAAAAGGAGAGCCCCAATCAGAAAGGTATGTGTGACATTTCATATTTGTTGAGAAATTCAACGTATCATATTACATCTGAAAATCAAATTTTTATTCGAGGAAAGGACAATTTTATGTTCAATTTGTTCATAAACGATTATTATGTTTTTGAACTCTCATTTTAGTATTATTTGTTTTTAAATCTTTAATCCTAACATTATAATTGTTTAATAACTCTAAAAGCTTACTGTCTCCATAGTGTAGACACACACATTGCCAATTTGTTTACGGGTAATATTACGAAATTATAGTATTGAAAAATTGCTTTTAAATATTTTTTGTATACAATGAACTTTGATAGGCCTATATGAGACTAAATTAACGCAGGAATTATTTTTTTTCTAATTAAATGAATCCGATTGCATTCAATAAATATACATTTGTAATCAACTTTAGCGGCATTAGGCAGCCCAGTATGCCTTTGTATCATATTCCCTTGACATAATTCTTCTTCGATAAAGATTCTTCGAAAATGAAACATGTCGCAGTACGATTAAAATGCAATGACTATATACGTTTCATTTTGATTTTTAGACAAATCAGAAAGGAAATCATCCGGCAAAGGAAAACGTGTCCGAACAATCTTCACCCCTGAACAGCTGGAAAGGCTCGAGGAAGAGTTTGAGCGACAACAATACATGGTCGGAACTGAGAGGTAAGCATCACGAATTATGTCATAATACTATTGTATATCGCAAAAACAGTATTTTCTTCTATATATTTTATATAAATATGCTTCGTATTATATTTCTGCTTAAAAATAAATTTAAAATTGTGTATTTGAAAGTGCATTACGTTTTGAGAAACTGCAAATATTGTATTAATAATAGTATATTTGATTATTTTTTAATTTTATATAACTGGCATATATTTTTATTTATAGAAGTATAATGATACAAGTCACATGCATATATGATCTTAAAGCATAAGTTATAAATGATATGATTTGGGTATTTCAGATATTACTTGGCCGCATCGCTCAACTTGACGGAAGCACAAGTCAAAGTTTGGTTCCAAAACCGAAGGATCAAATGGCGCAAGCAGAACTTCGAGCAACAGCAAGCAAAACTCGCCACACTGGATCTCTACCAAGGCGAAGAATCCGATTCTGAATCCGAGAGCGAAGAAGAAGACCACAAAAGAACACCGACACACCGCACATCTTGAATACTTGTGGACACTACCTAGTATGTGCTATCAACAGCCACGCCCCCTTGTGGGCAGTGGAAGATTACTCTCACTAACTCAAGGTGCATAACTCTCAATCACTGATGACAAACCTGCACTACGGCTTTTGCTGGCCAAATACGAGCAGTTGTCGAGGTTAGATACACGGAACTTTTCAAGGGAGCCAGTTGTTATCTTACACACGGAGCGAGATGAAAATGGTAAACCTGATATTTCCATTATTCTGGCATTTGTGGTATAAAAGTGGAGAAAGAGAAAGCTTTGTTTCAACTGTGGTAAAATGGTTGTTGTGAATACCTGCTTTCTATGTATATTTGATTATTTATTGTTGAATATTGTTTTGGAATAAACCAAACCCGTTCTATCATAAATTACATTTTGTGTTTTTATTACAAATTCTTAAGTAGCGCTTAAGACTTCTCATGTTGAAAATCATCTTTATCTATCGTTCGTATTGCATTTATTGTTTTCCTTGTTGAAAATAAACTAAAACAGACGTATAGTATTTCTGTAAATGGGTATTATTTCCAAAACGGACACAAGCACAAAACTATGGATGTTATTAAAGATCTCTACAACATTACGCTTATAATAGATGAAAATATTTGTAGTTTTTATTCAATGTCCCGGTGAAAACATTCAAGAATGCTTAACCCTTATATTTTATTTCGAATATAAAATGTCCAAACTGTTCGATACCCTCTCATCTCATCAACTATTCAAGAACAATCGTTTAAGTCATTTATTGACATTTCAAAGCAAATATACTCAATGGCGATATGATCTCATGGACGCTAAGAGGTTGGTTTCAAAAGCACAACTGATGAAAAATGCACAAACGGAAAGAGATATTGTTGCACAATAATGCTTGGGCCTCTCTTACCAATTTTGACGCATCAGTAACAACACTGATATCAGATGCAATTCCATATTTAGATTTTTACCATATTTTTCAGATGAACTGAAATCCCACATTTAGATTTTTACCACATTTTACAGGTGAACAACTAGCTTTGCACATGGGTGTGACAGGTGCTAGGATACACTTTGTATCACAAGTTGATAATTATGCAAATGATTCAGACATGTATAAATATCGAAAGGGATGTTTTGCTTTCATCATCATTATTATGATTACTATCTTCTAACATAAAACAAACATAATGCATACTTAAACCTTACACCCTGGCTATGAAGAAGTAACCAGTAGCCTAAGTGATGTATATGAAATCATAAACATGTAAATGTGTAAGAATATTACATGTATTTCGATATTTCTGTTGTAAATAAAAGACAAAAGGTGTTATGATGTAGCAATTCGACCTGTTTGTAAATGCTAGAAATTACCATTATCGGTAAAATAAGAGAAACGATTTCTGGACTCTGATACAAAATAGACCTGAAATAATTACACTAAGTATTATAGCCAGTCTATTTGAATTGTTTTCGAAAGAAAGTGGTGATATTACCCGAGATTTATTCTTCAATTTTCAATAGCTGGGGAGGCTAGGTCGCCTGTCGCCTGTCCCCTGTCGTGATTTTGCATGAAATTCCACACACTAACGTCATTAAACGTCTATAAGGATAAGGCTAACTGATCGTGACTTCAAGATGTGGCGCACATCCTATGTAGATAAAAGTATTGAGGTCTTGTATTTTGTAGCAGTTTGTTTACAAAACATCTGCCTAAAATTTATGCTTGTTATCGAATTTTTAAGAAAAACACATTTTGGCTTAATACTGTTACTAATGAATAAAAAAGGATAAGTGATTGAATTATTATGCATAGCATATAATTATTTTACATACAACTTGACTGGAAAATGAGGTAGATCAAATAGGAATTTTTCTAGAGAAATTTGGGGGTATTTTTTATCATTTCTAATCGAATCCGTTTGCTTATATATAGGACACTGTTCTCTGTACTGGTAGTATCAACTGAAATGAACATACTGTTTTTGAAGTAGACACAGGTTCCTTACACTATTGTATGTTCGGATATTATAATTATCTCCATCATCATCATTATTACTACTACGACTACTACGACAACTACTACTACTTTACAGGGGTGGAAATAACCCATTGCCCGACGCCCAGTCCAGTGTTTTTTTCTGTCGGGCTAGCAAATTTATATATCACACTGTATCGGTGTCCAGTTGACTTTCCAATGTTAATTATGTTGTTTATATAAAACATCAACAAGAAAATCAGCCAGTATAGTGGAAAAATTATCAGGGCAAGTAATTTTACATGTACCACTGTACCGGAGTACATTAGCAATTTTAAAGTTATTTCCACCCCTGCTTTATATAGTTAATTTTGGTACATAGATATCATTGGCGGATCCAAGTGGTGAAAATGACTGAAGGCCACATTGAAGCTAATGTTTTACACTGGCGGAGCCAAGGGGGGAAGAACGCACACACACACGCACACACACACACCCCTTTGAAAATACCTGGATCCTGCCATGGATATTGCAAGCTCGTTAATACACCTTAGTAGTAGTAGTAGTAGTAGTAGTAGTAGTAGTAGTAGTAGTAGTAGTAGTAGTCGTCACTGTCCGGATTAACAAGGTTGGTATATGTTTATGATATAAAATCGGAAGAAGTCAATCTGTGTTTATGTACAATGTGACTTCTTACAGACAATATCTATTTCTTCCTTTGTGTTGCAATATTTGGTTTATACTGGTTCAGAATGGTCCAGAACGTTACCATTATGGTGCAAGGTGTTCATGACATTACGTCTTTATCTCTCTCCCAATCTGTCCTACAAACAGTCCGAGGTTTGTCCGTGTGTCCGATCTGCTAATATTGGTCCTCAGACGCCAGACTGTCTGGAGAGGTGGCGGACAGCCTACAGATGCATTCACGCCGAAAGCGGGGAGTTTGTAGTCTTATAACGCCTGATTGCACTTTGAAAAAAACTAATAATAATTTAAAATAAGGATTAAGGGGATAGCTGACTACACGCATGTGCCAGAAATACGGACCTGAAGAGGATTATCCAAAGTTTTAATGGCGTGTGCAAGGGTTGTACCAACACAGATTATCGTGTAGTATCATATAGCGGGGTACTTAGGCTATGAAAACATCACCTTGATTTCCAAGAATAATTTCGAATTTTCTTTTTCTTCTTTTGTATTATATATGTATTTACATATTGAAAATGAAAGAATACTTCTAGTGGTTTAAAACAATAATTCAAATGAAAAATTCAAAAATTATTTTCAAACATACACGCGGCATTGCAGTTTCTTAAAAGTCAGACTGTTAACACAATACATTTTTTTCAGAAACTACACAACACACTGTGTGTAAACATCACAAAAATAAACGTGTCGATATGACTAAAAGAAAAGATTATGCTTATCTGGTGATCTCTTCGGATGTAGTAAAATAATTATGCATTAAACTGTTTCAAATATTGGCGTCTGATGGGATTAGCTAAACTGGCGGCAAAAAAGTATGCATTCGGGTTTGATCATGACAGAAAAAGAAACAACCATGGAGTGTTTATTCGATGTGGATGTAATTATATTTTAGACTTAAAGTTTGTAGTGCTTCGGTCCCCCTTTACAGCCTCGTAAAGTTTGAAATTTTGGGGTCAAATTAAACTTTCAATTTAACTACTTTATTTAGTTTATATATGAGATTAACCTATAGGAATAAGATGCTCAGTTTTGGACTATCATTGCTTTTTGTAGGATAAGCGAGAACACGAATTAATCGTACTCTTTGAAAGTGTGCACCTTACAGAGAATTGAATAACGTTAATAATTGTTTATCACCAGCGTTCTTTGTCTTAGATGTAATCAATGGTAACGAGCTTAACCCTGCACCCCCTATAGTCTTTGTGTCTATCAATCTGTCCACCAAACAGGCCAGTGTCCGAGGTGTGTCCGTGTGTCCGATCAGCTAATATTGGTCCTCAGACGCCAGACTGTGTGGAGAGGTGGCGGACAGTCTACAGACAGTCACGCCGAACGCGGGAAGTTTGATGTCTTAAACACTGCTGATTGCACTTTATAAAACAAGACTTTAAGATCAAGGTTCTAAGATAATCGGATGTGTGTTGAAAAGACGAACGGCGTATCGTGTTGTCAGGATTATCATTTTTTAACAGAAGCAACGCTATTTTAATTCTGTCTGGTTATAACATGTCTACCTGGGGTATATGTTTACAAATCGGATCGAAGAAAGCAGACATTGATGAGGTATGTCTGCAAGAATTATGTACCTTATTCATACATGTTTTACTTCAACACACATACATGTATAACACGTGTACAGATTCATCCCATGCATATACTGCTGCAGTAACATGGCTCGAATGGAACTATAACTAGTAATTGGTGAGTATATAGTTTTAAGCCGCTTTTAGCAATATTCCAGCAATATCACGGCGGGGGACACCAGAAATGGGCTTCACATATAGTACCCACATGGGGGAATCGAACCCAGGTGACAAGTGGACGCTTTAACCATTAGGCTACCCCACCGCCCCAATGAGTACATGTGTATTGATAGTAACAATAATTTATAACATAAACTAACAGACAAACCCCGAAAAGGCAAATTTACAATTTTAAAGTGAGAATGTCTTAAATACTTATCATCTCAGAAATTGCAATGCTAAATATAACTTTAAGCTTGACCACTTTCTCACAGGTGTTGTCTATAGCTCTCTGTCATGGAGCCATGGAGATTTACACTTATCACAGGGCTATATACAAACTACATGATGTTGACTGTCTGTTGTCTGGCTTCCATGTCTGTTGGCTGGGTCGCTGACTGTATGCTGGCCATTAGTAGGTGCCTCACTCTGAGGCTGTGGGTTCGAACCCGATGTGATCCTTAGCTGAGAACGTGTAATCCCGAATTTAACACGTTACAAGTAATGATATAAAAGCGACAGGGTTTTTTTTGTTAGACACACATTCAAAATGTTAAGGGTTGAAAATTGTGTATGTAAATATTATGTACTAATCAAATTAACACGCATCAAGAATCCTGTATATATTTAATGATGATAATATGATAATTTTATGATTAGACAGATGTGCAAATAAAACATTAATAAACAATATAAACGTCGGGAAAGTAACCCTTTGTATGTTTGACCAGCGGAATTATGTTCAATTGTGTCAGTGGTTACAAATGCGTTATATCATAAATAACGAAAATAAAAAAACTCAGGCGCAATAATTGCAAAATAAACTCTATATCGCGTCTAATGATTTGTAAAATTCAGGTATATCTAAACGAAAATCACTTAAACACATATCATGGTGGGTCGTTTGGGGCTTTGTTTTAGTTTGATTGGTGTAACAAGATAAGTGAAGATTTACGTTCTCCGAGATCTGATAATCTGCTCTACAAACAGGCCAGTGTCCGAGGTGTGTCCGTGTGTCCGATCTGCTAATATTGGTCCTCAGACGCCAGACTGTCTGGAGAGGTGGCGGACAGTCTACAGTCAGTCACGCCGAACGCGGGAAGTTTGAAGTCTAACAGCTATTGATTGCAATTGTGAAAGTTTAAATGTTGATCTGAGCCGTCTATGTGTAACATACTGGTTTTTATACGGATTAATACGGAAGGCAGATGCTGGGGGATTATCTTTTAACTTATTTTGGATGATGGTGTCTGCGGTTTAAACCACAAGCTTCCGTTATCATGTTATCCCCTACACCAAGGAGTGAGTGAAATGTGTTTTACGCCGCTTTTAGCAATATTCCAGCAATATCACGGCGGGGACACCAGAAATGGACTTCACACATTGTACCCATGTGGGGAATCGAACCCGGGCGTGACGAGCAAACGCGTAAAGCGATATTCACTGACTACAACGTGCGTAGTTATCTTGACTTGGTTTTGTTTTCTTTATTATACATTTTAAAACGATATAAAAGGATGTTCTGGTTACAGTTTCCATGTGCTTTTTGCCAGTAATCACAGACCCTAGGGATTTTCTGAAAATAAATAAATGCGTCTTTTTATTCCCATACTTTTAAATTGAGTATATGAAACATCCGAATCAATGAAGAAACTGAAAGTACAAGTCCCCTCAAAATATGTGTATGGTGAAATTCACTCCTGGTTAAGCATCTTAGAGAATTTCAGCATTTGACAACATGTCCTGACAACGTAGAATCTGCTCAGACAGACCCGGAAACAAATATACCCAATACAGCCCATGCATGTCTAAAATATGTGGCAACTCTCGATTACCGCCGTTTCTGAAGTTGAAGAAAGTCTCTATTAATTATGTTTTATGATGAAAACAGGAACTTCTATTCTTTGAAGTTTTCAGTTGTAAATTTTGTTCATTCCAGAGACTACCTCTGCCCACCAGCTATCGCAAAATGTTTCATTAAAGTACTTGCCTTGACAGAATGTTCGCAATGCACTTTTCCTCGTTCTAAATGTAATGATTTTTCAAACAAAAGCTTCATATAAACAATTTCAACCGAATCGATTTCAAGTTGTTCGTGATCAATTTCTTTAAAGGTTTCGCTTACCTTGAAACTAATCTTATTTTTGTTAACAGAATTCTCTGAAAACTAAGAATAAAATGTCATGCAGATTTTTTAAAACAAACCTGTTATATTTCTATTACTGTTCTGAAAGTCAAAGCACAAAACGGGAAATGTCTAACTTAACAAAACAAATCCAGCTAATTACCATTAAGAGGATTAATCTAACCCTTTTGCACCCATTCTGACCTACTCTCAGACCAATGACCAAGGTGTCTGCTAATATTGGTCTAATAATTTAGGTGTTGCGTTTTGGACTTTACCTATGCCTTTTGAAGCATTTTTAAACGTGAACACGAATTAATCGTACTCTTTGAAAGCAGGCATCTTTCAGAGAATTGAATGATGTTAATAATTGTATATCACCACCGTTCTTTGTCTTAGGTTTAATGTTAACGAGCCTAACCCTACACCCCCTATAGCCTTTGAGTCTATCAATCTGTCCCACAAACAGCCCGATGTTGGAGGTGTGTCCGTGTGTCCGATCTGCTAATATTGGTCCTCAGACGCCAGACTGTCTGGAAAGGTGGCGGGCAGTCTACAGACAGTCACGCCGAACGCGGGAAGTTTGAAGTCTTAAAACAGCCGATTGCACTTGAACCATGCATTAACGATTAAGGATACAAAAAGTTGAAATCAAACACAGCTGCATCAACTAACTGGGGCAGGACACGGAGAGGATTTTTCCTTAGGTCTTTCATATGTGTGATACTCCTTAATGTTTTAATCTTATATTTTATACATTTTATGCACATATTGTCTAGTGTGTCTCATTGACCATCTGGCCTGGTGTCTGTATTTTTCTATGTCTTTTTACCGTTGCCATTTTTGACATGTACTTTCACGTGACACATAAATAAACTATTTTGTCTGTCTGTCTGTCATTATCGAGAGTTTAGGCTGCATTGCAAGTGTTGTCTTTATCCGGATTATGGTATTTTACAGCCGGCAGTCTTAGAGCTTATTTTCCATATATTTCAAGTCCTTTTTTCAAAATCCTACGACTGTAAAATATTTTTTGTGTGAACATACTCACTTTTGTTTGATCGAATGTTAGGTACACAGATAAAATGAATGCAAGAAATAGCTATTTTGCTTTGATGATAATCCAAAAATAAAAGAAAAAATAAAATATTTAAGAAAAAACATGTATAATGACTGTTAGACAACAATTGGTTACATTGTTTGGTTGAAATGTGTAGGTGTTCACACAGCAGATATATCAGGAATAACCTCTATATAACAATTAACTGTTGTATAAGGACATCCTCAGCATGTTTTTAATAACGAGTACTGACGATGAATGTGCACCTTACATACATAGGCGGATCCAGACGGGGGGTGCAGGTCTCGGACTTAGCGCACTAGCGTGAATTTCAAAGTTTGATGTCCATGTGCAATGTGAGTGTTGTAACATCCTAGTTACATCACGACCTATAGAAAACAGCATCAGGTCAACTTGTCACTGAAGAACGATCCAGACCCCTGTCGATGGGTCCATTCTGGCAACCCGATCCTTGAGTTGGGTTGAGTTGAGTTGAGCTTTACGTCACGTCGGCATTGTTCCAGCCATAATAGTGACGAGATCAAGTTTCCATTCATTACCATTTTAAGTCCAAGGTCCAAAAGAGTTGTATTTCAAAATCACATATATTCATTACATTTCTATTTCAAAACAGAAAATGTCATAGCACCAATTACAAAAGCAAGCAATTTGTTATTCTTTTTACGGAGTTACAATTTATGATACAGGTCAACTTCCCTCAGGCACTTTACAATCAGATGCCCGCGCACGCGGGAAAACATATCTTTCAAATTTCTCGCATCATAATGTGCATCCCTTTCAGTCGAAAAGTCCACACAGTCGAGCAGAATATGCTTGATGGTGAACACTTGATCGCAAGAGACACACATGGGAGGTCCATCCCTATCCGTTTCCAGCAAGTAGTCATTAGTAAACCGACTGTGGCCAATACGACATCGTCGTAAAATTACCTCATCACGTCATGACTGACAACCCAAGTAGGTATAACCAATAGTTGGCTTCAATTCATGAAGTTTATTTCTTCGAACTTGGGTGTCCCACCTTTTCTGCATAAGGTCCCGAGTATAACTTTTGATAGTGGGTTTGAAGTCACTGTACGGGATCAGCAGTGGAGATAAGGGCTTGTCAAGAGCTGCTTTAGCTTCAGCATCGGCCTTTGTGTTACCTGCTATGCCTACGTGACCCGGCAACCAGCAGAGGACGATGTCACATTGGCCAGTAGAGAGATCGTTGTAAAGTTCTAAAATGTCCAGGATGATAGGGTGACTTGAAGTAACATTATGAAATGCTTGAAGGCAAGACAGTGAATCTGTAAAAACGATGAAGTTTTTGGCATGGTTCTGTTGTTTGATATAAGTCAGAGCTGTGAAGATAGCTTTGGCCTCAGTAGTGAAAATGGAGCTATTGTCGGGAATTCTAGAGGAGACAGTCTTGGATCCAATGACTGTAGCGCTGGCAACTTGGCCATCATCCTTGGATCCGTCTGTGAAAATGGATCTATGGGTGTTATACTTAGAACGTAACTGGCTGTGTTCCTGTTGGAACACCAAAGGATTTGTTTCGGACTTTTTTGAGTTTGGTGAGGGTAAGATCCACTTGTGGTTTCACCATCTGCCAGGGTGGGGGAGACAGAAGCCGGTAAGGTGCTATGATATCGAGATCAATGTTAGCTGCAGATATGTGTGGTTCAATTCTGATTCCAAGTGTTGGAACCAGGTTTGGTAGATTCGGATGCAGGTTTTCATAGGGAGGGTTGAAAACACAATTGTATGCTGGGTTGGACACATTTGAACGTAACTTAGTGATATACTGCAGTGGAAGTTTAATGCGGCGTTGTGCAAGGGGAGGTTCGTTAGCCTCTGCATATTGACTGTCTACCGGAGATGGTCCTAAAAGCTCCAAGACAGAGCCTAAGGCCTTGGTGGTGTATAGAATCTAATTTTTCTAAATTGCTTTTGCATGCTCCACCATAGACAATGGAGCCGTAATCTAGTTTAGAGCGAACCAATGTGGCTCGTGTATTGAGTATTGGAGACCTTTACTGTCTTGGAGTCCTTGCGACTGGCTTAGAACAAATGTGGATGTTTCGTATATTGCAGTTTTAAGTTTATTGCTTGTATGCAGACACTATGCGCAATGTTTGTTTAGACTTTATACACTCTTCAAAAAAAGAAACACATAAGCCATTTTAGAAGAATTTATTGCGTTAGTTTAAGAGCAATTATTTCATGTAATTTCAATGGTAAAATGGTGAAACGCACGTGTCTATAGGCAAAGCGTTCGACGACACAGCTGCAGCCTTTTTGATTGTGTTTCTGTTTACTTGAGTCCATGGCGTCAAATTCAGTACTGTGTATGGCCACCATTGGCAGCAATTACTGCTCGGCATCGTCTCGGAACAGACTGGAAGTCGCTCTTGCGGAATTCTTCCCCACTCCTCCTGCAATGCGATGGTCAGTTTAAGGCGTGTTTTGATCGAGTTCATCCCATAGGTTTTCTATCGGGTTTCGATCAGGTGACATTGACGTTAGAATTGGCAAAGTAGCGGACCGTGACGCCTGCCATATGTCAAGTAGCGTTGTCATGTATTAACAACTCCCTCTGTCGGTCCATAATGACGCAAGTGACCAGTCCTGGTGTAGTTGTCCTGGATTTGGGTGGTAACTCTCGGGCGATCTTGAGCGGAATCGGTCGGCAGGAAATGATCCCAAGGCGAAATATGTTTCTCTGGTGAACGTTGAAATGTCGGACAACTGCAGACTGCGACTCCCCAGCTTCAAGGTGGCCTATGGAGATGTTTCGATTGGCGACACTCAGTCGTGTTATGATTTCCTCTTTTCCAGGCAAAAACGATGAAAAAATTAAACACAACGTTTGCATTTTTATAGTGATCGATACTGCATGCTTTTCTGCTTACTTGCACGTGCATTTTGCTTTGCATGTTTTCTTGGTGACATTTAGGTGAATATTTCTTCAAACGTTTCTAAAACTAAAAAGCGTTAAAATTGCCGCGTTTTGGGCTAAGTTTTTTACAATCACACATCACACAAAATGACGTTTTGGAAAGAAATGGTATATTTATATTGTTTTTGCCGCAGTTACATGAGTCCAATATTCTCAATATCATATATGCGTTTCTTTTTTTGAAGAGTGTGTGTGTGAAGCTAGCAATATTTCAGATGTATGGAATACCACTAGTGTGATGAATAGATTATACTCCTTCCAAGCGACATAAAGTATAAAGTTGCAGAATAAACCTGCTACGTTATATCTGCCAGTCACTATTTGAGTGAGTGTGAGTGAGAGCGTGCGTGCGTACGCGTTACGTGTCAATGCAGGTATAGCTCTCCTGTTATAGCTGAGAGTGTCAGGTTTTACCTTATAGCGACAAGGCTTATGTAACCCATATATAACCTGACACTCTGAACATTCCAGGCAGTATTACATGCAAAACAATCATCCCTGACGAATCTGTGAACTAAATCACGTATAAGAAAAATCGAATTGTATATTGGACAAGTACTCTGCGCACATCATCGTCCAGCATCCACGTTGTCTTATGGCCGCGGGATACAGAGGCAGACTGTGTCTCATCCCTGTCCAACAAAACGTGGAATCATCAGCCATTTTTGAAAGGAGAGAATCTCCAAGGTCAACAAGCCATCCTGTGAAGAATTATCAGTCTGATTCTAGGACAATATTATTTTTCTGTCGCCAGACCGATTGGATCTGATCATACATGAAGGAGTAGAGAGCACGTGTTAAGATACATGAACTTACATATATATGCTTGCCACACACTGAATCACACGCATCGTTAAGTGGACAGGTTTATATAGTCACGTAATTAGACATGTAATGAAATACTGTTAGGTATAAATTAGAATATACCCTCCAACATTTGATAATAACCAATTATTTAAAAGGACAATTGACATATCAGGATCAGTTTTGTTCATGGGCAGATCACCTTATCAAAATCGGAGTAGTTTATAATTCAATAGAAGAATTGTTGGAAATTCGAGACTGAGAGTTTGCGATGCTTTTATTCTTATATTCTACACAGTAATGGTGAACTTAGGAAATGTTCTAAATCAATATATGAGACGGTTAGGTAGCATATCGGGTAAAGCGTACGCTCGTAACGCCGAACATGAGTACAATGTGTGAAACTTATTCCTGGTGTCTCTCGAGGTGATATTGCTAAAAGCGGCGTGAATCAATAATCCCTCTCACTCTCTCCAAATGGACACATTGTTACTGTGAATAACATGTTATTTTATATAAAACCGTATATCTCGTATAATGTGAATTAGATATATTTTTTTAAATGGCATTCGGGAAAATAAATAGTATCCATCCCTACATTGTGACCCTCAGTCACAGGGCTGGAACATTTAAGCCATATAGATCTGTTTAGAGGACGCGGTCTAGAATATGAAGTGTGTACTTTACCAACACATGACGTGGTATTTGTGTAGGTGCCTCGCCTTCCTGCTCACACATTTACGGAATTGAAATTAAAATACTTTTCTTACAAGAAGATTTGCTCTTCAGATGCTTGTAATTCCTGTTCAAGAAAAGCACTGTATCGTGTGAACGTTCTTGCTTTGGTCGTTCATTTCATCCATAATGGGATGATGCATCCTTGAGTTGAAATGTTTGTCCACACCCATGTAACTTCTTTGATTGGCATTCTAGAAGTTGAGTAAATGAAGAATGAGGACTATTTTTATGGATATACAACTTCTTTAATCTGTATAGGCGACGTTTCCACATAGGTTCTAATGTCGTTGTCAAGCAAGTCGCCTATACAGAATAAAGAAGTTGTATATCCTGGTCCATAAAAAGTAGTCCTCATTCTTCATATCTAAGTATGGTCATCTGGTTGATAAAACTGCACATCATAGATTAATGTTCGTTTTGAATACCGTGTGAATACCTTGGTTGGATCAGTGTCTCGGCAAAGTTTGTTTTTTTGTGTGTAATACGCAACTAAATGAAATCGTGTTGTCAGGCTCGGTAGCCTGTCCAGGTTATACACAAGCCGCTTCGAAGTACTTGGAATATTGTCGACTGTGGAGTAAAACAAAAAAAAAATTAATACATGACTCCTCGATGCGAAAAACAGGGCAAATATACCACATAAAAGAAAAATAGCATCTGCTTGAGAAGCTGTGCTAGTGAAAATGAACAAATGCTCTATAACAATGTGAACCTTGGATATCTGCATGTTAACTAATCAAAACCAATCTACATAATACCAGGCAAGTCTAGCTACCAGTTTTCCACACAAACAATATAATGCAATACAAGATGTCCTGATAATATACACAAAGAACTTAGCTAAGCACCCCTGACATATCTCACGATTGAATGATCTCCGATCTTAACCCTTTGCAGCATATCTAAGACATGATTGCAACAAAGGGATCCCCCATACAGACCATTCCCCAGTTGAAATCTGCTTTACAGGAATAGCGTAGACTGCCCCTCAGAGGATCAGGAGGCTGACAGGGGGTATGAGGAGGAGAGTGCTGGCTGTCATACAGTCACATGGAGGTTACACTCGGTAACTCAAAATTAATGGTTTTGTATGAAAATCAGTTTGTTTTTTTTAAATTATCATAAAATCAACATGGGTTCCAATACTTTTGTCGTTTTTTTAGTCAAACGATCATAAGGATCAGAAAACTCATGTTTTTCCACCGTGGTCCCTACGAGAAGTTTTATGTACGTGTTGAAAACCTATCATTGTAAACATACAGGGGGTGCTTAATTTAGTTCTTTGTGTATGTGTTTCAAACCAGTTTGCGTGAAGACAAATGCGTAGTCTGTTCCTACGACTTGGGATAAAAGTAGAGATTTTACGAACACTTTACTCATTCGGCCTCCATCACACGATGGTTAATGTTACAAATCACCTCATTTGTAATCTGACTAGGATCTGTGCCTCATCACAGATTAAAAGTTTGCATGTTAAAATAGAAGTGTGCGTGATTGAGTGATTGTGTGTAGCATAATATTATTTTTAGCCATACAGGTGTTACAGACTCAAAAAAATGGTTCCAATGACAAACTTTCAACAATATTAAATCAGCCAGCATAAAGTTGATATCAACTGTATTTAGAGACGTGCTTCTCATCTGGATATTCGGATTTGGTCCGACCATATATCAGAAAAAATGAAAACAGAACACAAAAAACACTAAAAACAAAAACTGTATTCACCCACAAATACAAAACAAAAAACAAAACAGAGGTAAAATAAGACATGATTTTGTATTTCGTAAACATTTCCACAAGTGCCTCAAAAGTCCTAAAATGATTTATGAATGTTTTTGTGTAGATGTACAACTTCAGAGGTCCTTCTTCTTAAACACACTCTTGACTCTTCTGAAGAAGTTGGCCATCCTAGACAGCAAGGTCTTCAGGAAGGAGTGGGATGGTTGGGCAGCTTCCTCATCACCAAGATCTACTTCAACAAAGTCAGTGTCATCCACGATGAACTGACCAGCAATGGTGAGGGACACAGAAGGGACAGTGCTGTGGCGAAGGGGCTGGGGGACGGGCAGGTCAGACGAGGGGGCAGGGATGGTCAGGGACTCTAGAGTGGGTTGCTACAGATAGGGTGGAGGTTGAAAAAAGAAGATAAGGAATGATAGCGGTCATGCAGGAGAAATAAAGTTAATTATTTAAATATATTATAGCCCAGAAAAGTCTTAATGTATACCAACATAAAGGTGATATTAAGTGAAAGCTATGTAAAAGATTAAGATTCATAAAGTTGAGTTTGTCTTCCACAAGGGTCTAGTTTCTGGGGCATTGATTGACTGTCATCCAAATTGGTTTATGGGTTTAAACAATTGGTCATTGTGTAGAATAATGTTACATGATAAAAATATTGACAACAAATAATTGACATTGTCACAAATATATACATGTATAATGTATATTTATTACAGAGGAAGAGAGATTCCAGCAATATGGCGGTGGTCTGTAAATAATCGAGTCTGAACCAGTCAATCCAGTGATCAACAGCATGAGCATCAATCTGCGCAACTGGGAACCGATGACATGAGTCAACCAAGCCCGCGAGCCTGACCACCCGATTAAACTTAAGGAATTAACTATGATACAACATCAAAGTTTAGGGCATTTGAGAAAGTGGTCAGAATTATTCCTTGGGTGTTAGAATTATGTATTTGGATGATAAATAATTCTATCATCAACCGTATGTTCAGTATTTGCATCATGTCAGTGAAAACACACTGTAGAATCATTAAGAGGTTCCTGCTACACCTACTGGACAAGGGTCAGGATAAGTCAGGGGGGACAAAGGCAGGGGGAACCAGATCATCCGATCAACTGTGGGGAATGAAATGACATGAGTATACCAGGCAATGCCAGTACCAACCAGACGTAACGGTTACCACTTCTCTGTTGCCAGGCGTATGTTTTCTTAGATCACACTAGCTAGCAAATCTAGCTTATACGCGTTCCTAACACCTTTAATAAACTTTTCGTTGGATTATAATGTTTTCGAACATCATACGTTTTTTGGAAGCCATTGTTTATGCTCGCGTTTGCGTTGTGACATACAGAACAGACATTGTAAATCCTCGGATGATGCAGCATGTATTTAACATAAAGTCTTGCAAGTTGGTGACATGCTTTACAATCGTTCATTTGATTATCAAAACAACAACGAGTGTTTCTTAGCGTCCGAAAGTAATACAAGGATAATTATAAATGCACAAACATGTAGGCTCCTGATAAATTGTATCCCTGAAATACGTTCGTGATTCAGGCAGAAAGTGTACATACATGTGATCATACATTATTATACTAGTGGGTATCTTTTAAGTGAATACTTCTTCTACAACGACAAATTGTATGAACATATGCACTTATTTAATTAAATTGAAAACTCACAATAGATCTGTTGGCATACGAAATATCGATAAAAGAAAAAACCCAAGATGAAAACTAGATACAAATTATACCTTGAACATAACTGCTCGCATTCATGGTGGCAGGTTCAAGAAATGCAAGAAAGGATAGGCAGCTGAAGCTTTCAGAACAGAATGCAGATGAAAACAACAATGGCGTCGATGCTCACATCAAAGTGACAACGGTTGTCAAGGACAAACCAAGTCTCGTAAAATAACGCGATATTTTAAAAAATGTAATCGAAACTGGTTCCGGATTTCCCTTGCGCATGCAAACTTTGAGATGAAGAGACGGAGCTCAGTATGAGTCGATGTTAGTTGACTGGTTTGGCATGAAATAATATTGATTTAGTGCAGGGGCGTAGGAACGGTTTTCAGAGGGGGGGCTAATTTTATGAAAAGTATTAAAAATCAAAATGAAATTGTAGTTATGGTAAGGTAGAAATGGTTTCGTCTTGAAAAAAGTTCAAGCCCCAAGCCCCTCCAGTTCCTACGCCCCTGTAGTGTAGTTGTAGCGGCCATAAATTTCCGAGTTTCCGAACCCTGTGCTGGGATTCGAACTACGGACCTTCTAATCCGAAGTCGTACGCCTTGTCCACATGACCAAAAAGGTTAACCCCGTCACGCAAGCTGACAAGGTAAGGATGTCATCTGTGGGATGACTCCACGCCCTGCTACATAGTATTTACCAGAGTGGATGTGCTGGTTGGTTTAATGTGGACTAGTATCTCAGGAATATTGCCAAGACCGACATCAAACCAATATTATCTCTGACAAATAAGGTGTCAAGAGGTGTTTCAGTCTTTGGTACTACACGTTTTATTTCTTGGACCTTGGTCTGGTCGCTGTCGTTTCGTTTATTTATTAATTTTTAAAAATGTTGATCTTAATGACGCATTTGTGCAATACGTTCACGTTTATGCATTTCTCAATTACCTTCAACAACCGTTTTCTTCAGCGGGGATCCCTCGTTGCAGCTAGGACCCTTCCAGAGTAATAAATCACAAACCAACGTAACTGGTGGCAGCCATTTTTCTTTACTCTCCAAGGGACACCACTCTGTTTACCCATTGACCTATAAATCCCGCTGTCTTTCATTGCAAGTGATTGTGTTCGATACACGCTTGGTATTTTTATTTCACGATGGCAACTTTGCGATGTAAGAATTTCCCATGGAACGTACTACATACATTTTCAATCATCTGTGAAAATATCCCATTTTACTGTACTGAAATGTAGGTCTATATGATAACAATAAAGGCAGTGTGTTCCCCCTATATCCCTAAATGAGTCCCTAATTAGTAATTACACATGTAATACTTATTGGTTACTATTTCACGTTATTATTTAGAATACTTCAAACAAATGATTGCTCTATTGTCGTTCCAGGTAGATAAAGCTGAACGTCGAGTCATAGTTGTTTTTTTTAAATTTTAGTACAAATTGAAACAAATTGAACATCGAGTCATATTTTTAAAATTTTCAAATCAAGCTAATTTTTGTACACATATTTAACATTTTATTGACCTTTGTTTTGGCGGACGAGGTGGGTATATGTCTATTCTTAATTCATCTACATTTTATCCGATATCGTGTCAATTACATAACTGTTTAATTTAAATCACTGGATAATGGAGGCACCAAAACGACAAAGCTACATGTGAGTGCAGACTAGCTTCCCCTTACATGACCTTGAAATACACTGGTGATGTCTATCACGATAGGGCTGCTAACAAATTATACGAATGGCCAACAATATTGTTTCATGTTACAATGATGCATTATGTGTCCACAACAAATGTTCTTTGACATCGTAGCTGGGTGTTTGTTATTGATCTATGGTAATGAGTACATGATATATTGATTTAACCGACGAGACAACAAACATTGACCATCGCTGCTTTCTTCCCCAATCAGTATCAGAGAGTCCCGAGGTCCACGGTGCTTTTATCAACCAATCTGTCCAACAAACAGTCCAATGTCCGTGGTGTGTCCGTGTGTCCGATCTGCTAATATTGGTCCTCAGACGCCAGACTGTCTGGAGAGGTGGCGGACAGCCTACAGACAGTCACGCCGAACGCGGGAAGTTTGAAGTCTAACAACTACTGATTGCAATTGTGGACTTGTTAGGGTTGAACTGAACAGAAATGCAAATTCTTTCCTTAATACGGATTAATAAAAAAGTTGGCGTTGCTTAGGGATTAGTGAGGGACACGGTATGGAGTGGACTGGGTTCGCAAGAGATTAGTGCACAGATGGGATCAACTGGTCTTGGTCTAGTAAAACATAACGAACAAATGTTAGCGTGACGCCCGGGTGTCTGATACTAGCTGATTGCGGTTAAGGGGTAGATTTCGTTGCTGTGGGATTAGGAAGATGCACGTGTTTTCATGCGTGTAGTCATGGCTGCAGATTATCGGAGTTTGGACGCTGAAGACAACAGATCAAAGATGGGACATGGATTAAGATTAGGAACATGCACGTGTTTAGGCTTCTCTAGCTACAGATTATCTTGTACAAACATCGGATAATGTTTGCCAGAGACTCTTCAGAAAAGGAGCCGTGGTATGTAGGTCATGGTGGCGACGTTTGGGAGATCCAGTTGGTACTGGCTTTACCCTTAGGTTGTGTAACCTGTATATTCATTTAAGGAACATGTCAGGAAATCTTTATTCTCAAGTTCCATTTATAGTTTAATTTAAGATACATATAAAGCATGACAGTCAGTTGTATGCTAAATACGTTGACATTTACAATCTGCAAATAAACAGTTTCTTCCTTTGTCACCTATCACAACGCTATTTTTGCTATTAAAATGGCGAAAGGGATGATGACATGGTCGAAAAAGTATATTTTCTATTGTTGCCTGCTGTATATTTGTTTTGGTTTTTCTAAGTCTCGTAGTGCCATAGGCGGCATTTTTATGTCCAAGCTGATCATGTGTCCATAAAAATACAATATTGTTTCATGTTACAATGATGTATTATTTGTCCACAACAATGTTTTTTGAGATCGTCCCGTGTGTTTGCTATTGATATATGGTAATCAGTACCTGATATATTGATTTAACCGATCGTGAGGAGACAACAAACAGTGACTATCGCTGCTTTCTTCCCCAATCAGTATCAGAGAGTCCCGAGGTCCGCTGTGCTTTTATCACTCAATCTGTCCAACAAACAGCAGGCCAGTGTCCGAGGTGTGTCCGTGTGTCCGATCTGCTAATATTGGTCCTCAGACGCCAGACTGTCTGGAGAGGTGGCGGACAGTCTACAGACAGTCACGCCGAACGCGGGAAGTTTGAAGTCTAACAACTACTGATTGCAATTGTGGACTTTTAGGGTTGAACTGAACAGAAATGCAAACTCATCCTTAATACGGATTAATAAAAAAGTTAGTGTTGCTTGGGGATTAGTGAGGGACACGGTATGGAGAGGACAGGGTTCGCAAGAGATTAGGGCACAGGTAGGATCAACTGGTCTCCGTCTAGTAAGAAATAACGAATGAATGTTCGCATGACGCCTGGGTGTCTTATAACAGCTGATTGCAGTTATAGGATAAAATTCCTTGCTGTAGGATTAGGAAGATGCACGTGTTTCCATGCGTGTAGTCATGGCTGCAGATTATCGGAGTTGGGACGCTGAAGACTACAGATCAAAGCTGGGACACTGCCCGTGTTTACGCTTCTCCGACTATGTGAATTCGTATTGCACTTTTCTTATGTACCACCGTTGGTGGGTTCTTCTGAGAGTTAAACAAATCAAACTGTCACAAGAGTTTGATCATTTTTATCTTGTGTTTTGGTTGTTTTGGTGTTTTTTTTCTGTCATCACTTGTCTATAAAATACTAGACAAAACAAAGTACAAGCGTTACTGGGCTGAAAACGGTCTCGTAAACAGAACAAACATAAAGTACAAAACACTGGTATGATATCCGCATCAAATGCACAACCAATTTATGTTTGCTTCAATTTTACCATCATCAGATATGGTTGTAAATTCCTTTTGGGGCGTCGGCTTAACTGACCCCATGAAATTAACATGTTCGAAAGGAATCTATCCAAATTAACCTAACATTTAATGGTACATATAACCGTAGTTTTCAATCTCCCCTTTCTTTACCATATATGAACGTAGGATGTATGCATCTAGATTCTATACACATTCAAATGAAGACATTATGGCAGTTGGGCAATTTTTATCAAGGTCATGCTCGAGAAGAAATGTTTGAAATTGTAAAAGCTTTCTTCGAGGATGCATGTAATACTTCTGCAATAACATTATATTTTACTAATGCTTCAATCAATATTTTGAATACACAACGCCAATATTACACAATTACTTTTAAAAAGAGTTCCATTCATATTCATGCTATGCTATGGTTAAGATTTCTTTCAGTTTGCTCACCTTAAATTTTTCTAGATTATCGAATGTTTAATGATTCTTGAATAGGTAAAACGGTGAGAGTTTGTTCATATTATTAGCGGTCTTCATGCCAATTCAAGGGAGGTAATCAACGAATCTTTCCGGTTGGTTACTAGTAGCAACGATGACTCCATTGTTGTAAATAGGCTAACGGGAGGAAGGGAGTACTCGCAGTCGCCTACCGTTTTAAATGTTTGTTGTGTGATTTGCCAAATATTGCAAGAACAATGTCGGAGGTAAATCACCAAAGAGAATATTCATTATTTTAGTTATTGTTTTAGAAAGACAAACGCCTTACATTTTGAGACGTCTTGACCAAAAAATAGAAATGCAAGCGTCTGACATTTTTCTACTCGTAGTCGTAGAACTATGTATTCCAAGACACCTGCCTGTCGAGTATGCCAGTATGTATCTGTTTCAACTGTTTGTATTTCTGTAATTCAGGAAACTGTTGTTTATTGTTACAGGAGAAGAAGGAAACAACTGCGAAAGAGGGTGGGAAATCATCCATAGATGACAGTGCTTTTGAAGCACTGGAAAAGGACTTCCAGGATGTGAGTGTTATGATTGAACTTGAATGAGATGATCCCATAGGTCCTGGTAAGCTGAATAATATCTAAACTCAGATGTTCACAATTTATTTGAAATATTGTCTCCCCAAAGACTTATTCTCCATCTGTAAGATAGTTCTATGCTGGACTATCTGTAAGACAGCCTTGGTATTATTTGCTAAATGTATCATATTGCTTGGCATTTACATAACCTAATGATGAATAGTAAATAAAAGCCTAATTTATCAATATGTTTTTGATACTGCCAAAACTTCATCTGTGACTAAAGTGGAAACTATATATTAGTTTCTTTTCCCAATTTGTAGGTCTACACTCAAGTACACAATAAAATATTAGTTACAGTATTTTGTGGCACCACCAGAAACCCCAATCTGAATTCTATAAATCATAGAATGTATGTGTACATAACATTAAGGAGATAAATGTGAGGTATTGATACTTGCATTGCTAATGTAAATCATTGATGTTGTGTTAATTTCATGATATACAGTAAATAAAGAAAAATAAGCCTATAGAGCATTTTATGGATTATGTTATAAAATAGAATTCATTGCAGTCTACCTTGTATGTCTTCCACTGATGTGATGAATCAGAGTTCATTCTGCAAATTGCATATGTTTTTCATGTTTCATAATTTTTTAAACGTGTATGCACTTAGATAAGCATTTGACACATATCATGGTTAACATTTACTGAGAAAATATCAAACAATATAAAAGATTTCTATATGAGTTTATATCATTTGTTAAGTATGGTTATATGGTAACACACCAAAGCAGGACATCCTAACCTTGTCACATATTTGGTCAAGTGGGCAAGGCATCCAACTTTGGATCAGAATGTCCATGGTTCGAATCCCAGCACAGGACCCAAACTTTTATGGCTACATGGACAGCTTGTGATACATTATAATGCTCATCACAACAATGATTGTGGTATATTTGTTTACAACTGAGCAAAACGATCTGTAAATCAGCCAGAAATGTTAAAGATAAAATATATAAGGAGTCACTAGATTCAAATATTATACACTTGGAAACCTCATATCAACTGCTGGGTATGAGAAGAAGATTGTTTGGCCAAAAATATCAATTGCATTTGTTAATGGTGACAAGGATAGGGATACTGAAAGGAACGCCTGGATGTCTTTTGATGTCAAATATCAACACAAATCAAAAAGTGCTCATAGCTCTGATGCTCCTTCTGACTTTAATACTTTAAACGACACCTCTTGTTATGTATGACATAAAAGACATGAGAGTGAGATTCTCTTTATCATCAAAAATCATTCTCCCAACTTTTTTATTTTGTACTCCGTAATAACTAGTGACTTTAACGTGAAAGTAACAATATGTCTTGTGGAAGCTAGTTTCGGATGATAAATATATTTATAATGTTCTTTTACTTAGGTCCTCGGAGAGCTCATGGGAGATAGAAGTTTGGAAAAATTCCGAACAGAATATGAAAAGCTACACAAAGCTCTGAAGAAGTCCCATGAAAGTGAGAAACGTCTCATGCAGAAATGTCGAGAACTCAATGCAGAAATTGTGGCCAACTCGGCAAAGGTGTCCACTGCTCTCAAACTCTCACAAGAAGATCAAGCTACCATTGCCTCTCTGAAAAAGGTAAGTTTAATTTTTAACTTTACTTTTTTAACTTTATGTCTTCTTACATTTTAAACATTTTTGCATAATGTTAACAATATCAATCATCTGACAAGAATTATTAAACATGATTGCCCAGGGTACCTTGGCAAATTCTAATGTTAACAGATTTATGACACTTATATTTTCAGCTATCTGATGGACCATAGGACCCTCTTTAGTTTAGATACTGTCATAACCTAACCATTGACGACATATGTAATGCAAAAATGGGGCTCTATTATTGTTATCTTTATTTTTTTCTGAACTTTAGGAAATCGAAAAGGCATGGAAAATGGTTGATGCAGCTCATGAAAAAGAGACCCGAGCAAGGGAGACAATCCAGTCTCTGAAGATGGAGATCTCAAATTTGAGCAAACTGGTAGAGCAGGGAGCTGGTCTCACCATGGGACAGGAACACAGGTCAGCATTTATACACATACACAATATACTCCAGGGGCCTACTGGTTTGAATTACTCACGACTCACTTACATTTGTCAAACAGGATGTCTTAATGGATCCTTTGATCTGATGACCAGGGGCTGATGAATTGCTGCTCTTGATATCCTATGAAAATATATATGAAAAAATAAATGTCTTGTTTTTAAAAAGGTTTACAATCATTTTATTGTTGCATTATTGCAACTTTTAAAACTGTACTTGTAGTAGTTACACTATCTAACAATGAGAGGTTTGTCAGATAGACGCAGGGCGAGTCGGTGTTGATTGACAGCTGAATATGTCGAGGGCGTACCTTAATCAGTGCACACTTCATCAACCTCCAGGTTTCCCTGCTGCAACTTTATACAATGAAGTCTCCCACGTAATAGATCCGCTATTAAGCTGCCAGTGTGTCAAAATCCAACTGACTCACTCTCTCACGTCAAAAGTGTAATTGTGGAAATATCTTTCCAGTGTGAATGAGCTGCTGAAGATTAAGGAGGAGCTGACGAAGGAGCGTGATGAGCAGCTCCAGGAGATCACCAGGCTCCGAGAGCAGCTCGCGGAATCCACCAACCAGCAGGGCAGTTTGGAGCAGGAGCGAGCTAATGCCGAGGAGAAAATACAAGAGGTACTAGAATAATATTGTTGCTGATATAGATCATACTTCCATGATATCAATATGTCATATGAATGACATTTTTCAGCCCCTTTATTTCTTAACTCATGGGCTTAAAATGTGATTTTTAAATACTGATTTAGCCCATGGGATTAAATAAGGAAATATTTTTTAGTGATCCATCCCTAGTGGATGATTTGAAATACATGGAATGTGACATAATGTACAAATAATCTAGACCTTTTAACTGATCACTGTGAGAGCCTTCCATATTTACAAGACATACAGAATATGAAAAGTGTGGAATTATTAAAATTGAATGAAAAGGATTCATCAGTCATAAGATTTGCATTTCTTTCATCCATGCAAGCCCAAAGTTTTATTTAGGATGACCTATTCAGTACTAAAAGGAGACAAAATCTGTTATGAAGCCATCTGATTAAATAACATACATGCATTCCTGATATCATGTTCTTAAAGCATTATTCTGGTTATACAGAATATCTATATGTATTTATAAAGTAAAAGGTTTCATATTGATTTACACAATGAAGTTATTGATCTAGATGTATCATCTGAGTGATAATTATCATCGTTTCTGTTATTATCATTATATCATCATACTTATCTGACTTCCATACACATAATGGTTTCATCAGTTATTAGATGCTAAAAATGTCAGGATTGTCATTAATTCCAAGAATATCCTTCACACATTGTTGATATCTGCTTGCAGTTGTCTCAAGACATACAGGTTCGCAACAACGAGGCACAACGTGAGGCTCGCAAGAAGGACAAGCTAGAGCGAGAGCTGAAGCAGACCAAGGCCGACCTTGATGGTAAGGCCTCTGAGATCAAGGCCATGACTGGACAGATCGAGAGGTTCAAACAAGACATCAGCAAACTGGAGATGCAGCTGAAGGAACAGAGGGTAAGTGTGGGAGATTGTGGTTAGTAACGGATTGTGACTCAGGGAGATTGTGGTTAATAATGGATTGTAAATCAGAAGGAGCTTGTGGATAGTAATGGATTGTAAATCAGGGAGATTGTGTTTTGTAACAGATTGTAAATCAGGGAGATTGTGTTTTGTAACAGATTGTGAATCAGGGAGATTGTGTTTTGTAACAGATTGTGAATCAGGGAGATTGTGTTTTGTAACAGATTGTAAATCAGGGAGATTGTGTTTTGTAACAGGTTGTGAATCAGGGAGATTGTGTTTTGTAACAGATTGTAAATCAGGGCCTCCTTTCACAAAGCACTAAGGTGATCGTAAGTCACTAAGGTAACCTTAGTGCAATGTTAAAGAATGGGAGTTAAGGTTAATCTTAGTAAAGGTTGATTTGTGAAAGGAGGCCCTGATTGAGATTGTGATTAGTAACAGATGGAGGGAAAACTTTGTTGGTAACAGATTGTAAATCTGAGGTTGACCAGGATTCTTGATTTTCTTAGCAGCAATACAGAACACACAAAAAAGTTATACATGAAAATCAAAAAGTGTTTCTAAATATAGGATCCAATTTGTTCAATTTTGGCTGAGCATTTAGTTACCTTGCAGGTGTTCAATGAGAGATCACTGAAGGACTCGGAGGTGATGCATGCTCGCTTCACCAAGCTGACCACTGACTATGAGAACCAGGTGGTCGCAGCTGACCAGCTCGCAGCAGAGAACCAGTCGAAAGTGTCTGACCTCAAGGTATGACTGTCTACTAAACTTGTTGGAATGTTTAAATAATAGCGTAATAATGGTGACAATGTTTAACACTTTAACACTAATACATATGCTTTAATCATACATGTTGTGAGGTATTATTTGGTTACTGATTGTTTTTCCCTTGAACATAATGTTATCTGAATGAATTGATCGTTACATCATCCGTGATTAAGTTTTGAGGAATGGGGGATAAGAAAATTTAACATTTATTAAATTTTAAACAAGTACACGTCAGTTTCAAATTCTGTTTGGATGAATCGTTCCTAATGAAAGAATTTTTCCGACAATAAAAACAGAACACAACGTTTTTTGGCATTCAAGACTAGATTTTGTCCTGGTCTAACTATGCATGTCGTTCAAGCGTGATGGATCTGTTAGATGATTGTGTCTCATTGTTTGTCGTCTGCCTGTCTGTCTGTCTGTCTGTCTGTCTGTCTGTTTATTTCACACTGCACTGTATTCCAACTATATGCTGGCGTTCTGTAATTAGTTGATCAGATCGGGACCTACAATCCAGTGATTGACATTATGAGCATCAATGCATCAAATTGGATTGCAACGTATACTCAAGCAAGCCTGACCACCCGATTCATTCAGTCTCCTACAACCAACACAGGTTGTGTCTGATCCCAATGGGGGTTGTGTCGTTGTAACCAACGTCATGGAACTTTGCTCATAATATCAGTCACTAGTTTGTCTGCTTTGGATTTAGAGGCTGAAAAACAAACAACAGGAATATTTCTGATTTGGTCTAAAAACTTAACGTTATAACTCCATTGCTTCTTACAGCAAAAAGAAGATGAGGTCACAGGTTTGAAGGGCGAGACACAACGACTTAGTAAAGCAAGGGAGGTAATCCAGAGGAAGCTACGCCAAGCTGAGGACCAGAAGGGAGAAGTAGAACAACAGAGGGAGACACTTAAGGGACAGGTCATTGGTCTAGAGAGAGGTATGGGACACACCTAACACAAATATCACCATTTTATGCTTGACACATTTCTTCTGAGTTTATGGCGGTTGAAATTTTTTAAAACAAAATCATGTAGCTCCCAATTTGTATGTTCTGTTTGTTGTTTACATCAGTTTGTTTAGAGGAAAATACAATTAATATTTTGTGAGTATTTATACAAGTTTAAGAGATTTATCTGGTCCTGCTCCTTCAGTCATGTGTGAGTCATCAATTTTGTACACATGTACTAGAGTGAGTCGTCATTATTTTGTACATGACATGCAGCGGGGTGGGGGTTCCACTTACTTAGTACATAACTTTAGGGGCGGGCATGTAAATGACTGTACAAACATCATCACCCCACCCCCCATCCCCTAGCCATAAATTTTGAACAGTCCTAAGTGCAGAATAATTGTAAGTTAAACAGTATACTGTATTTAATATCTATATCCATGAAAGCCTCGTTATTTTCTCTCAAGCTTTGCCACTGCCTGATAATACTAGACCTATTTTAGACCTATTGTCCTATTTTCAGATTCTTTTGACATCATTTTGTTAGTAATATTACTTCAAAACTTCAAAATAAAATCGATAAGTATTGGAAACGAATCGTAAATTCAACGTTTGAATAATTAATATAAAATGACATATTTGAAGTATCATGTCGAGTAGGACAGTGTCACATGTCACTGTGATGCAGGTATTGCATTTTTAATGATGTGATTGCTTGACATAGGTAGCCCTAGCAACAGCGTACTGTAAACACACTTTCCAGAAATGCATTTTAACAGTTATTCATGTTGGGCTTTCAAATGGAGCACGATTTAGACATTCCCTGTGATAATGATGACAATGAAGGTAAATATTTCTGACTTTTGATAATGTTGAATGTGCTCAGGATATTGACTTATTAATCAACGTAAGACAAGTAACCAGATATGCAAATCTGCAGAATTTCTGTTTTGTAATGTCAGATGCATAATTTGTGATAACCGAGAGATGTAAATAATTCAGCTCTGATTACCATTATAAAACAGAAAGGAACTGATAGCAAGTACATTTAGTTTCTCAAATGTTGTTATGAAAGATACAACTATCAGTTGAGTGCATGACATTAGTGCAAACACACCTCCCCATGTACAGCATTAGCATGACAAGTAGAAAGGTCTCATTGTTATCCTATCATTGTTTGTTAAATTTTAATTGGACGAAAGGGAAATCATTTTCCCTGAAGTCGATTTAAATCTTTAATGGTTTGACAATTTGTAGATGATAATGAACAACAGTGTTTGCTGGCTACAAATGCGTGTGATGAGTATGTGATGTAATTCAGGCTCATGATCCAATAGTTTTCAGTTCCGTGTCTATGAAATCATACAGACAAAATTCTTCTTCATTTTTAACTTAGTTTTTGAAAATACCTGTTCTCTTTAATAGTAATTAAACTTCAGTGCATTGTTACCTTCTTGCTTGACAAATTATTGATTGAAATTTATCAGAACTGGAGGCTGCCAAGAAGCAGGGAGAGGCTGACAAGAAGGGAATTGACGACCTGGTCAGAGAAAGAGACATCCTCAACAAGGTAAGACTAATACATGGTATACAGGATAAACTTAGAATAGTAGTGATACTAGTCAATAAATGTCCAACAACAACAAAAACAACAGCTCTTATCACAAAACAACCTTGAGACGTTGCTGGTTAGTACTTTTAGAAGTGGTTGTTGTAAGAGATGTTTATTGGAGAAACGTTTTATCTGTTTGACTTAAGCCTAGTCTAGTCAATTTTTGTTTGGTATTGGGAGCTCTACTAATAAGAGTCACAATTTTAACACCAAAATCAATCAATAATAAAGAATATTGGATACGTTCTACCGTATTGGTATGGAATGTCACAGCGCTAAGAGGAATTTGGTGTGGAGGGTATTAGTGTTCATACATGGGTTTTGACAGTGACTTCTATGTAGAACCTGCTGAAGGCACCCAGTACTATGCAGGTTGATGTACATGGATGTTAACTGAGTGTTTTGTGTGTGTAGAACCTGCTGAAGGCAGCCAGTACTATGAAGGTTGATGTATATAGATGTTAACTGAGTGTTTTGTGTGTGTAGAACCTGCTGAAGGCAGCCAGTACTATGCAGGTTGATGTATATGGATGTTAACTGAGTGTTTTGTGTGTGTAGAACCTGCTGAAGGCAGCCAGTACTATGCAGGTTGATGTATATGGATGTTAACTGAGTGTTTTGTGTGTGTAGAACCTGCTGAAGGCAGCCAGTGCCACCCAGAAGCAGCTGCACCTGGTGAAGCTCCATGAGCAGAGCAAGAAGAACCTGGAGCAGGAGATCCAGAACTACAAGGAGGAGGCTCAGAAGCAGAGGAAGATCATCTATCAGCTGGAGAAGGAGAGGGACAGATACATCAATGAGGCCTCCGATCTCACACAGAAGGTGAGCTTGTGGAGTAGAGCTGAGGAGTTCAGGCAGAAATACGTAAATATTGACCTCACACTTCAGGAGCAATAGAGTGAGTGAGTGAGTTAAAATTTAACGTCACCTCGGCAATATTTCAGCCATATAGTGACGATGGAGCAATAGAGTGTTGTCTGACAAACAGTAGGTAGAGCAGTTTAGAGTGAGTGAGTTGGGTTTTACGCTGCTTTTAGCAATATTCCAGCAATATCACGGCGGGGGAAACCAGAAATGGGCTTCACTCACTGTGTCCAAGTGGGGAATCGAACCCGGGTCTTCGGCGTGACGAGCGAACGCTTTAACCACTCGGCTACCCCACCGCCCCAAGCAGTTTAGAGGTATTCAGTTGAGTTTAGAGGTATTCTGGGGAGTTAGTGGAGTTGAGAGATGGTCAGGGGAAGCAGGAGACAATAGAGCATAGAATACCCTTGAGAAAATCAGCATCCTTTTTGAGTTTTTGACTTGTGAGTAATGTCTGTTTCATCTTGTGTAGGTTCTCCAACACATGGAGGATGTCAAAGTACGGGAGATGCAGATCTTTGACTACAAGAAGAAGATTGCGGAGGCAGAGACGAAGCTGAAGCAGCAACAGAACCTGTATGAGGCTGTCCGCAGTGACAGGAACCTCTACAGCAAGAACCTCATAGAGTCACAGGTGAGTTGCTGGAACAGTCCATGCTGGGGTTGTATGTATCAGGATATAGCTAGTGTATACATCAGTATCTGGACACATGTTATGCAGTGCTACGAAACCAATTGAGTCGGAAATCTCAGTGCTGACTGAAGCAATATGACTTGTAGGCTTGTAGCAACATTTTTATACAAAAGTAGCAGCTGTTAAGGGAATTATGAAGGGACCTTGGTTTGGGTAGTTAAATCTGTAAGATCCCTGTATATATTATTTTTACATAAAAACACAAACATTTTAAATATGTGACTGATGTAGACTTCTTTAATTTCATTCTTTACTCTGAACACTTAACACTTTGATGTGGTTTGTTGTATGCTCATGCTGGTGAGAGCAAAACAACAGAGTTTGTTCTATTTGCACAGTAAACATTTAAAATGGAGCCATTTAAATGGATATACAGTGTAATACTTAAATAAATGAGTTGTTAATCTTGATTTTGTTGTGATATTTCAACCCAGCATTAGTGCATTCACAACTTGATTAGTACACATTTACTGTTTCATGTTAGCTCTTACTCTGTCTCTCTCAACTCACAGGATGAGATCACTGAGATGAAGCGCAAGCTGAAGATCATGAACCACCAGATTGACCAGCTGAAGGAGGAGATCCAGGCCAAGGAGGCGGCACTGGTCAAGGAGCATCTGGAGCACCAGAGGGTGGAGAAGGAGAAGGAGACGCTGAAGGCTGAGCTGCAGAAGATGAAGCAGGCTGCTGCTGAGAGCGAGGCTTACATCAAGAACCAGGAGGCGGAGGAGAGAAAGCTGCTGAAGATCATTGCTGAGGCTGATGCTGAGAGAGTCAGACAGAAGAAAGAGTTGGATCAGGTGGGTGTGATGGAGATAGGGGATAGTCATGGAGATGGGCAGGGAGGATAGTGATGGAGATAGGGGGGATAGTGATGGAGATGGGGAGGATAGAGATGGAGTTGGGATAGTGATGGAGTTAGATAGTGATGGAGTTGGGAGAGGATAGTGATGGAGATAGTGATGGTGAGATGGGGAGGATAGTGATGGATAGTTGGAGATGGAGAGGAGTAGTAAGATAGTGATGGAGATGGGGAGGATAGTGATAGTGATGGAGATGGGGAGGATAGTGATGGAGATGGGGAGGATAGTGATGGAGATGGGAGGGGGAGTGATGGAGATGGGGAGGATAGTAAGATAGTGATGGAGATGGGGAGGATAGTGATGGAGATGGAGATGGAGGATAGAGTAAGATAGTGATGGAGGATAGTGATGGAGATGGGGAGGATAGTGATGGAGATGGGGAGGATAGTGATGGAGATGGGGAGGATAGTGATGGAGATGGGAGGATAGTGATGGAGATGGGGAGGATAGTAAGATAGTGATGAGATGGGGAGGATAGTGATGGAGATGGGGAGGATAGTGATGGAGATGGGGAGGATAGTAAGATAGTGATGGAGATAGGGAGGAAAGCAATGAGATGGGGAGAATAGCGATGGAGATGTGATGGGGAGAATAGTGATGGAGATGGGAGGGTAGGGATGGAAATGAGGTTGAGAGGATACCGATCGAGATGAGATTGGGAGGATAGTGATGTAGATGAGCAGGTTAGTGATTGAGGTGGATGTAGATATGTAGATGTGAGAGGATGTAAAATTAGATAAAGATGGATGTAAATGATATGAGATGCCATGTATATAATCTGTCTTGTAGATAGATGTCAATGAGACTTCCATGAATGTGATTGGAATGAATATAAATGTCAGGGAGATGGATGGATATGTCTTGTAAAAGATGTTAATACGATGTAGAAAAAACTTGATTAGACGATATAATTCCCACTACTCTTCTTATACCCATAGCTCACACTTAACCACCAATCTGACTTGTGTACAGGTGATTAGTGAGAGAGACATCCTGGGCACACAACTGGTGCGACGTAACGATGAGCTGGCCCTTCTGTATGAGAAGATCAAGATCCAGCAGTCCGTCCTCAACAAGGGCGAGATTCAGTACAACCAGCGGCTTGAGGACATCCGGGTCCTCAAACTGGAGATCAAGAAACTCCGTAGAGAGAAGACCATCCTTCAGAAGAGTGTTGCAAATGTTGAAGATCTCAGGTGGGTTTCCCTCAGTGAAGGAGTTGATAGATATTTCGAAATATTTTGGAGTTATTATCATTCTGGAAAAAATACTCAGATCTTTGAATCTCTGTTGCCAGTGTTAACTATGACTTATTATTAAAGAAAATGTCCTTGTTTCATGGCTGATGTTGGTGCATGTTTTGTAGGCGTGAGGTATACCACATCCAAAGAGAACTGCTGCGAGAGAGGACACGGTGCAAGGCTTTGGAGGAGGAGTTGGAGAACCCCATGAACATCCATCGATGGAGGAAGTTGGAGGTATGGAAGCTGAACCTGATGACAGGACTTCAGGCTTGCAAACATTTGAATATTTCAGTGTCGCTTAAATGATATTCTATATAAAAGAACACACATCTTTTTTCTTCAGCCTTCATAATCCATGTATTAATACAGGCATGCTGGGATAAATATATCTTTCTCTCCCACTCAAAGGGTTCGGATCCCAGCACATACGAGATGATCCAGAAGATCCACACACTGCAGAAGCGACTGATCTCCAAGACCGAGGAGGTTGTGGAGAAGGAGCTCCTGATCCAGGAGAAGGAGAAGCTGTACCTCGAGCTCAAACACATTCTGGCACGCCAGCCCGGACCAGAGGTCGCTGAGCAGCTCCAGATATACCAAGGAACACTCAAAGACAAGACAAAACAAATGAAGGTAAAGACTTGTCGCAAGGTTCATCAATGGCTGGCACATGTTATGGACAGGACGACTGAGGGAATTTTAATAACATGAATGAATAGAATTAAAGAAAATAAAATAAAATTTGATATATAGTATTGCATCAGTATGATAGGGAATCGAACCCGGGTCTTCAGTGTGACAAGCGAACTCTTTAACGATCTCCCCTTTCTGAGGAATCTAAATTGTATACTGTTGTGTTAGTATGACTACCTTAACATCCACACATTGCTTTTGAACATTTTAGGGAAATTTCTTTATAGTGACCCAGCTCACCATTTCATGAAAATATCACCCAAAATATTCATGATCCCTAACTTCTTATATTCAGTATATACAAGCTAGTATACAGATAGTCTTTTTGTACTATCATCGTATCAAACCTCAATTCTATACATATCTACATACACTTTTTTAGAAGTTGATTTTTACTTGTATTTCCCTTCACTTCAGGCAATGGCATCTGAACTGAACATGTACGAGTCTCAAGTGAGTGAGTACAAGTATGAGATAGAGAGGATTGCTCGGGAACTGCAGGAAGTCAAGAAGAAATACTTCATGCAGAAGAAGAAGGAACAGCAAGTCAGGTAAGGGATGATATCTGTACAACAGCTAGCAGAACCTTGAAGATCCAGGTTAGAGTCTTTGGCAAACAATGATCATTGTAGGAGGCAACATATGGGATCAGGAAGACAGGCTTGATTGCATTGATTGATACTTATGATTGTTTAGTCCAGACTCATTCATTTCTGGAACACTGCATTATTGTGGCATTAAACAACAAAGAAACTATAGCTAATTTGACTTCAGTTACATGCAAAGATATTTTCATTAATGTTGGTGGGCATTGGTGGCGAAGTCATCTGAAGTGCTACAATTTAGTGTTCAGAGTTGCCTCCCTTGGGCATGCCAGGAACCTATTATCACAGGTTTGAATCGTGGTTTTCCCTCATGTTTCTAGGTGTTTCACCACACCCATCCTTATAGGTTTCAGTAATCGAGTGAACATTCAAGGGAGGTATCATTTCTTGGGCTTTCTTCCTGCATTAAGCTCACATTATATTACTCTGTTCAAAGCGGCATAAAATGCAACTGTCACTCCATCCCTGTGGGGATTATAGGTTAGGGCCATTCAATGCCCTTAGTGTCTCTTACAACAATGAGTTGCTGAAGACAAATACTAACACAGATCATCACAGGGTTGTTATGTTATCGAAGTGAAGAAGGAGGATTGGAACATGTTGTGTCAGGATAAGTATATTAATATCATGTTTGTTTGTTGTTTAATGCTATCACAGCATTCTGGCAGACAATCCAGTGATCAACAGCATGAGCATCGATCTATTCAATTGGTATACAATGACATGTGTCAACAAAGTCAGCAAGTCTGACCACCTGATCCTGTTAGTCGCCCCTTACACCATGGGTTACTGAAGACCAATTTGTGGGTTATTATTATCATAAATATCCAAATTCATGTAATAATTCCTTAGCAACCAGACTCACCATTCCTGGCATTATTTGCAGGGAGAGGGACCGAGCATTAGCCCAGGCAGGAGCACCCATCATCCAAGCACAGAGAACAGATGCACCTCGATTCACTGGCGGTGGCTTCAATCTCAAGGCTCCCAAGACTGCAGCATAATGGAACATGGCACCAACTGTGATACCTTTCTGTCCATCTTCTCTTCCTTTTTTCGTAACTCAGTATTAGCTCAATATTCCTCTTTTATGTAAGATTTTTGGCTTTATAATTTCCAACCCGTTTTGAAGGATATTTTCCTGTTATATCCTTCTCAAATTATTTGGTTCCAAAGATAAAAGTGTAGCTGCTTCATGTAAATCAGCATTATAAACAGCTTACTTTTTAAAACCCAAAGTCTTTTGTTTGGTTATTTTATGTTAGGAAGAGAAGGTGTGATATTTTAATATCAAATGCTTAACATGTAAAGTGAACATTTGAACATTTTGTACATTTGAACATATGTAAATTGCAGAGTATTGTAAAAAATCAGTATTGTGATCTGTGCTAACTTTTAGGTTTTATTTATTCTAAAATTCCGTCCAAGCTGCAAGAGTACAGTATGTATGGTACATATACTAGGTACAGAGATGTTTTCGGCCAGATATGTACACGCAAGCTGTTATAGTGTTACCTGTGTATTGTTCTGTTGACCCTGTGTCTTGAATACTGCGATTGTTTTGATATATACACGCGATAAAACAACAAATACACAAATGGCTTCCCGTCTTTTTTATTGGATATTATTTTGATCGATAGATTTGGCATTGTTAATACCTCATGTGTTTGTATATCATACATTCAGCCATCACCTGTGAATACATAAACGTTGCTGTCATGTGACCATGCTGTCCCTTGGTTGCAATTCAGTTAACTGCCCAAACAATTTGCCACTGACAATTTCTGAGAAAGAAACTGGTGTCATCGCAACATGCAGTTGCAAAGAGAAATGATCAAGGTGTTGTTCAAAAATATATTCGTACAGAACTGGTTCTAATTTGGAAAGATGTTTCAGTTCCTCCTTCTGGCTAGCAAGTTGCTTGTTACTTGGAGAAAATGGCAACATGTCAAAGGTCAAGGTCGTAGCTATCAAAACTTGGTCCCGATACCAGAATCCATGACCACTTAAAAACATACACCAGATGCAGAAGCGGATACAGCTTTTTGAGAAAGGGGGTCCACACTTCATTTTCACCTGTTTCACAAGAGTTTCAATGGTCATTTAATAAACTTTCAGGACAAAAGAGGGGATGCGCGATCACCCCTACACTCCCTCACTGGATCTGCCTATGAGATGACATCATACCGATGGCAATATTTCTCACAGAACATGTGCAATGTTCTACAACCTTCTGGTATCTGTTCTACAAATTGCTCAGATGGCAGGTATCATTTGGACAAAGTTTGTGCACGGTGTATAGTTCTTTGACCGTCTGTGAGTTACAAACAGCCTCAATTTATTAACTTACAACACACTCACTCACACAACTAAACAGCAAAGTGGCAATATGTATACACAGAGAAAGCTTCATGTATTGACTAGATTTGGTTCCTCTTCTACTCTTCTCAACATATGTTTCATATGTTTCAATAGATAATTGAGCTTTTATTAATAACAATAGAATAATTTCACATGTCATGAAAAGTGAGCATTTCATTGAGGACCATATCAATAATGTTAAATGGCATTATATAAAGTCATAGTACAGCAACTGGTGGTCGATATTATGAGCACCAATTGCTATCATTTGGATATTATGGCATTCAAGACTGCATGGTAAGAGTTCGCAAAACAGTTTTGTTCAAAACCCTATGACTTGACAGCTACACACACAAATACACACCATTCTTCAACTTTTCAGATACATACATACCTCTGACCTCACAGATACATACATACCTCTGACGTCACAGATACATACATACCTCTGACCTCACAGATACATACATACCTCTGACTTCACAGATACATACATACCTCTGACTTCACAGATACATACATACCTCTGACCTCACAGAAACAGACATACATACAGATACCTCTACCTCTGACTTCACAGAAACACACATACCTCTGACATATACATACTGACGTCACAGATACATACATACCTCTGACTTCACAGAAACATACATACCTCTGACTCCACAGAAACAGACATACCTCTGACTTTACAGACAGAACTTGAACAAAAAACACAAGGAATGTCAGTCGGTCCCTGATCAGACAGTTTATATTTTTATGTTAAGATATGGATTTACTGTTCAATATTAAACACTGTGCCTAATTTAGTCAACTGGGTTTTTTATCTGGTTTTCAACTTTTTAACAAAATCTTAAATACAAAATACATTCCAGTGCTTAACTCGTTCACTTTTTGTACTGCTATCAAGCAATACAGGACCTCCCCAATTTGGACTCTCTGATGCACCAAATCATATTGGCAATAGATCATATGAAATAAGTTCTTAAAGAATCCACAAAACCTTTGTGTTGCACAGAGCAGACATTTAGAGGTTCATATTTTGGCAAAGGCAGGGTTTTACACAGACTTTGGAAAAAGAGAGTCATGGTGACACACAGTATTTATTTTTGGGAGTCATTTTCAATATTTGGGAGTCATGAAAATTTTAGTGTAATTATTTGTGTTTATCAAAGAGCAAGAATTTTGCAAAGATTTTGTTGTTTTGTGTTGTATTGCCATCTGTATCATGGGCAGATCCAGGAATTTTGAAAGGAGGGGGTTCAGGGGTTCCGAACTCTCCTGAACCCCCATTGACTCCTTAACGCAAAAAAATCTTCAATGTGATCTTAAGTCATTTTCAAAGGGGTGGGTTTTTTTGAGCCCCTGGACCCACCCCCCCCCCTCTGGATCCGCCAATGTATATGTTAGTTAATGAATAGTATATTTTTCACTGTACAATTCAGTCATAACGAACTCCATTGTACTGAACAAATAATCAGGCTTGTGTTTTATTCACTGTAGCATACAGTTATTAACATGAATTGAAAAAAATATCTAAATTAATGAAGACCTCACGAAAACTATCATTGTTTGCTGATCAAATCGATTTTATAGAACTGAATTCTGAGGGTCACTCATAAAACTTGCGTCAAGCTTGACTCGTATGATAATATTTTGAGAGTCATTTACAAAATTGTTGCATCAAATACGCAGGAATCAAGCGTCATGTAAAAGCCTGCAAAGGCCAATACATCTTTCAATGACACATGCTCAGAAAATGGCTTGTAGCACATTGGTTAGAAAAGACATGGGTTCTTTCATACAGAGGATGAACCATTAATGCCCATGCATTAATCATGTACTAAATATATTATCTCATTTTATGAAAGTAATTACAAACTTCACATCGATTCCATTCATAACTTGGATAAGTAGGTAGTTTTGAGAAATGATTATTTAAAAAAGAGGAACTTCTTTAACAATCATTTATTTAGGGGTTTAAAGATTGTGTACCAGACATACCACTAATAAATGCATTAACTCATTTCTAAGCAATGGTGAGAAATAAATTTCTTACATATTTTAATAATATCTGTTCAGTAATCTCAATGCCCAGTACATTCTGTCACTTTTCATAGTTTCATTTTGTTGTTTTTAAATTACAGCTTTGACAAATAATGTACATTTATCAAATGGTGATAGTATTTTGTATACTGATTGTGTAAATGAACATCAGGAAATTTCAGAGCAACAATTTGTAGGGATGGGCGAAAATACCGGTTAACCGGTATATTGCAATTCAAACTTCACAATACGATATATTGCGGTACACTTTTCGCAAACCGGTTCACCCGATACGATCGACAATTTCCGTGACCGTGATAGGTAATTTTCGTGTTGTAGTCACAAAAAACTAATAACATTTGTATTTGCTTTATATTATTATACATTAATATTTGTGATAATGTTTATTTGTCCTGTAATTGCATTTGTATGACTTTTAAATCATATAAATAAAAAAATAGATTGTTACAGGCAATTAATAAACAACCCAAAATAGAGCAAAGTCTTCCATTTGGAAACATTTTCAATTGATCGCTTGTAAAATCACATCTGAGTCCTGCCAGTGGCATTGTTTCAAAAGAAAGGAAACAGTAATTTCATTACCTTAAACCATGTTATACACTTTTACAATATATTGCAATACATATCGCAAGACGCCAACACATATCGCAATATATCGCAATATGAAAATTTTGGCAAAACCCAACCCTAACAATTTGTGGTCATGACTAGATGAATGGACCAATATTGTCAAAGATATAAATTTCAGGGGTGGTTGCTATAGCAACAACAGAAAATTATTAAAAAAATAGGTAAATCTTGTACATGAATTAAAATGCGTAAAATTCAAGGTTTTGCAAAAAATAATATTATACAGGCAAATAAAGTTGTATTTCACAACTTCATCAAGCAATGCCATCAGCGATGTACACTTTCATCAATATCACACTGGCCAGTTATAATCACCTCTTGGCCAGACAAACCTCTGCTGTAAATAACAATCATACAAATCATTTCAACAAACTTCATGATTCAAATAAATGTTCCCCAATATACATAACAGTATATATTCTAAAACCATAACTTATTTCAACTATCTGATCCGACATGACCATTTTCTTTAGAATTGTCTATACTAGTTTTACACTTAGAGAGAACTTTATCAAGTCTTGTTATGAATGTGTCCACGTCTTGTTTGGTCATCCCGATCGCGGCAGCTGCAGTGAGGTAGGTGCAGGGGTAGTTGTCATGGTGGGCACCGTAGTTGTTGAAGGTGAACCCACCAATTGTGTTGCTCTTCCCAGGGGCAACAACCCTAATGAGGGAAACAAGAAGACAAAGTCATCAATATCCCCTGCAATGGCAAAATACTCTTCATGATTATGTCTATGAGTTATGATTATGTCAAATATTTAGGTGTGTATAAAGAAAAGTGGAAAAGAGTATTGAAAGGTTTTTAAAGTTCAGCTCCAGAAAGGAGCACTATCACCAATTTTAGTCTATGTCAAACTTGTTGCCATGAAAATGCCAAAAATATTTTATTCAAGATTCCAAAACTACCAAAAGGCACCAGTACACCACCAGATCTATCAATGTGCCAAGTTTGCTGAAGAAACATTGAACGGCTTTAGAGTTCTGCTCCGGAAAAGTGCACTACCACTAATTTCTGTTTTAGTCAAACTTGTTGCCACGGAAAAGCCAAAACTACCAAAAGGCACCAGTACACCACCAGATCTATCAATGTGCCAAGTTTGCTGAAGAAATAGTGAACAGTTTTAGAGTTCTGCTCTGGAAAAGAGCACTACCACCAATTTCAGTCTACCGTAAGTCAAATTTGTCGCCATGGAAACGCCAAAAATATCTTAGTCAGAATTCCAAAATTACCAAAAGGCACCAGTACACCACTACAAAAGAATCCCATCACATTGGCAACCGTATGAAGGTTCAAATCAAGCCCTGATCTACAAAACCCAATTTTGACATTGTTCTATCACAAGTACTGGGAATCCCTTTTCTGTCTCACAGTCCAAGAACCATTATTATCTTCCCTTCTGCCCAGCCCTGAAGCCACGGGTTCTGAATCTCTCATCTCACAGGGATACCTGTCCATTTTAAAGGAATTATTTGTTTCTAGTAAGCATTAGTCTAAGTGGATTTCTCTGAGAGTGCGGAGTTGTGGTAATGTATCCTGAACTGACCTGGTTCCGGAGACAAATCTGGTAAACAGCATGGAGCCGATTTCTGTGGCTGTTTTACTGTCTGCGGCACTGCTTGCAGACAGGCTTATCCCTGAAACATCAAGTCGTGCAGTGTCTGAATTTTGGAAGTTAGCGATTCACAGGGCTCGAGAATACACTCACCCTTAGCATTCTCAACTGACACTTCACATCCCTGTAAAGTACCATCTCTATCCATTCCATAGTTCTGGCTCGTTTCAGTGTATAATCATGGTGAGTAGGTTAACCTACTTGAACATGTTGAGTAGTACTTAAGTCATATTAGCTGTATCAGTATATCATGTTCAGTGTTGAAGTAAAGCCCAAAGTAATGCAGATCTTAGATGTTACCATGGTAACCTACCAGCATAAAAGGGAACAATGCAAATAGTTAGTGAATGAGTTTAGTTTTACGCTGCACTCAGCAATATTCCAGCTATATGGTGGCGGTCTGTAAATAATTAAAGGTCACATGCAACCAAAAAATCAAATATAATTAAAACACAATTATCACTTCTTCATGACATATAATATGCATTGCTGATTATGAAAAAACAAATAAACAAAATTATAAGCGAATAATCGCAAATCAAAAGTGCAATATTTTGTACTTGGGTTTACCTCCCTCGAAACGAAGCAGCCGGGATACCGAACCCAGTCAGAGCGGGTGGGTGTGCACTCAAGTGTAGCGGCTGGTTCATTAGCAGATGACGCCTTCATGGCTCATTGTGTGTGTATATATAGAGATGTTGGGTTTTGTAAATACATGCTCATTTTTTGTGTATAACATTTTGCAATCAACAGACATCATAACATGTCATGTGTTCAAGTATCACACCTGCCTGTCTGTGTAATTACATAATGTGACAGAAACCGAACTCGGGCCATAAATCAATGCGTTTTGTTTATGGTGTATAGCCTGATTGGTGTTAAGTTCAAATTGCATGTGGTCAGTGATCGCAGTTGTGTATTGAATATTGTCATTAGCAGACAGGCAGGCAGACACACAGGTGTCAATAAAACAAGACATTGAGTTTTGTCTGTGACAACGACATATCTATATCACAATTAGAAATTGTGTCAACGCTAAATAATGACATTGCTTTTAAGTATCGAACTGAGAAAGTGACTCGGTAAGAAGAACGTGTGGTGAAATAGACAAATGAAATTATATAAACAGTTAATTTACTGTCATAACATATAAAAAGCTCGCGCCTGTGAGATATCAACAAAACATTAGAAAAATAGCTCATACCAAAGCCTTCACCGAGTATTCACCGGACAACCCGCTTCCAAGCTGCGCAAACCTATTTCACTGCGCACATGCTATGAGCGCAGCCCAGCTGTTGAAACCTGTTTTCCCCAGAAAAGTCTGGGGAAAATTAGTGAAACGTTTGAACTCCGATTTCGCGCGTTTATTTCATCGCGTTATTTTTCAACTTTATAAGTTGAATTTGCATTTTTGACAATTTGTTTCGGTATGTCCATACCAAAAGGTATCAAAATCTGCAAAGTTGTGTTTTACGTTGCATGTGACCTTTAAGTCTGGACCAGACAATCCAGTGATCAACAGCATCAGCATCGATCTGCGCAATTGGGAACCGATGACATGTGCCATTCAATTCAGCGAGCCTGACCACCCGATCCCGAACAATGCAAATAAGTTTGGAGAATAATAAAAACAATGATAATAATGAGTATTTCTACAGCACTGGTATCCAAGCACAAGATTGGTTGTTTCGTTTTGTTGTTTAACTCCGCACTCAGCAATATTCCAGCTATATGGCGGCGGTCTTTAATAACTGAGTCAGGACCAGACAACCCAGTGATCAACATCATGAGCATTGATCTACACAATAGGGATACAATGACATGTGTCAACCAAGTCAGTGAGCCTGATCACCCAATCCCGTTAGTCGCCTCTTACGACAAGACCAATTCTAACCCCGATCTTCACGATCCCAGGCACAAGGTGTTCAGGTTAGAGGTATTGAAGTCTAAAGGTTATAACATGTAAACAGATGTGTTTTAGGTTTTCATTACGAAACTGTGAAAGATGAAGTAAGCTTGAATGTTAGGGTATAACATAGCTGAGCAACTGTAACACTGAAAACCGTTTGGCCAAGGGTGGTGAGTTTGTAGTTAAGATGAGGTGAGGTGAAATTGGGTTTTACGTCGTGCTTGAGAATATTTCGCTCATATGACGACGTGCATGCGTGTGTATGTGTATGTGCGGCTGCTTGTACTAGCCCAGACTTAAACTGGTTTTATAGTGCAAGCCCACTGAGATACCATGCCGCAGTGAAGCATGAATACCCCACTCAGACACATTATACTGACTCCGAGCCGACCAGTCCTTGCTGTACCCATTAATGCAGAGCGCCAGGCAGGGACCAACAAGTACCATATTTTAACGTCTTTTTGGTATGACGCAGTCAGGGATCGAACCCGCGACCTTCCGCTCTCCGGGCAGACGCTCTAACCATTACACCACGGAGGCGGTCTTGTAATTATTAACTTGAAGAAGGTTAACATCCAGAGACTACAGTGTTTCTTTGTGGTGTGTTCTCTGTAAGAAAACCTGTGTTGTAGGATGTTCCCGTCTCGTTTCAACATTATTATGCTATACATAGTACATTGAAAGTGGAACACATGGTCTCACCTAATGATATCGGGTTGTGTTTTGTGTTGAGGAGTCTTTCACCATGCTTCTCAGCACACTGTCTGAGACAGTCAGCCAGGTAAGTGTACATCAGCTTCCTGTCCCCCAGGAGCTGTTTGTACCCTGCCACACCCAGCGACAGCAGCGTAATCAGCAGGTCCAGGGATGGGGAGGCTGACGCTCGACCTGGTACAACAATCAAGTCAAACTGAACTGTAGAGTGGTTGGACTTACCATCACAGTATGGGTTTGTTTTTTTGTTTTTTTAGCCTAGTGGTTAAAGCGTTCGCTTGTCACACCGAAGACCCGGGTTCGATTCCCCACATGGGTACAATGTGTGAAGCCCATTTTTGAAGTCCCCATTGTGATATTGCTGGCAAATTGCTAAAAGAAACATAAAACAATACTCACTCACTCGTTCACTCACTCACCCCATTACAGTATGCTGTTGTCACAATGTTGAAGGGGCAGTGGGGTAGCCTAGTGGTTAAAGCGTTTGCTCGTCACGCCGAAGACCCGGGTTCGAATCCCCACATGGGTACATTGTGTGAAGCCCATTTCTGATGTCCCCCGCCGTGATTTTGCTGGAATATTGCTAAAAGCGGCGTAAAACCAAACTCAGTCAGTCAGTCACAATGCTGAAGAAATAGAATTATAAGTGAAGTTCTTTGTTTAATTATTTTTGACATTTTAGCCAGCAACATATTTCCCTATTACCGGTTCTCCCCATCTCTTCTCTCACCTGGATATGTTTTGCTTATCTCCTCAACAAATTTCTTGTCAAACCCGGCAATGATGGCGCCACCTACTGGCACCATGAAGTTTTTGTCCGTGCTCTGCACAAAGGCATCAACTCGTCCCACTCTGGCTGCCTGCATACAAACCATTTTTCATCAGAGATTTATAACACAGTGAACAATGCTGAGGATTGAATTTGCGGACTTCATAATGAACTGAAATGCAATTTGCATTTATACTCCTGCTACCATAACGAGACATACTGCGAAGTCATGAACTTGTTTTGTTTGTTGTTACAATTAGGTTAAGATGACGTGTCATCGAGCTTGACCAACCGATGATAAGCAAGAAACTGTATCATACTTGCGTATTTTTCTCTAAATAAGTAAATCAGTACTTTAATAACATGTTTAAGATAAAACTGTTTTGAAATAAGTTGTGTATCGTTTTGTATCAATACACCAGTCGACGATACGATAGCTGTATCAAGCTTAAATGTATAGTGATGTATCGGTGAATCGTCCCAGCCCTACAATCTAGTGATCAACAGCATGAGCATCGAACTACGCAAATGTGATATGATCTTGCTAGTCGCCTCTTACGACAAGCATGGGTTACTGAAGACCAGTTCTAATGGTCATTAACAAAAGTATGGAATTGCAACAAATTAATCTTGCTAAATGGATAATGTGGTCAGACGTCACAAGGACCGCCTCCATGGTGTAGTGGTTAGAGCGTCCGCCCGGAGAGCGGAAGGTCGCGGGTTTGATCCCAGACCGCGTCATACGTTAAAACATGGTATTTGTTGGTCCCTGCCTGGCGCTCGGCATTAATGGGTACAACAAGGACTGGTTGGCTCGAAGTCTAATGTGTCTGAGTGGGGTATTCATGCTTCACTGCGGCATGGTATCTCAGTGGGCTAGCACAATAAAACCAGCTTAAGTCTGGGCTAGTACAAACAGCTGCACATACACATACACACGCATGCACGTCGTCATATGAGCGAAATATTCTCCAGCGCACGTTAAACCCAAGTTCACCTCACCTCACCTTTAACCTGGAGGTTTGTAAATAATCAACTCGGGACCAGATAATCCACTGACTGTTGTAAAGACATTCTTTGATAACATGATATCACCCAATCCACACTGCCTGACCAAACAATCCACTTTCTAGCCTTTTACATCAGTGTTTCCGGAGACCAACTCAAACATGGCAGCTTGGTGGATGTGATAGACAGACCCTTCTCAAACATGGTGAACAACAAGTGTTTGCCACTGATATGGCAATGTCCCCCGCCGCTAAAGAATGGAATATCTATATTTACTATTTTTTTTTTGGTCACATACAAGATGCCTGAAATGACTGGTGTCTGCATAATCACCCAATGTAGGCTGTCAACATACTTGAAAACATTGGGTGCAATGTTTTATGAGATATCGCGTTTAAATAAGATTGCAAAGTGCTCAAGATAAGGTCTATGTCATGGTGACCTTTGAAGACAAGGGTCAATAGTCCATGGTCACAACAAGTTAAAATGTGCATGTCGTGGTGACCTTGATATCATGTTAACAGTTTCAAAAGTGTTGAAAGTGTTGAAAGTGTCATGGTGGCCTTGAAGATAAGGTCAATGTCACCCAAATCGACTGGTGTCTGCGTAATCCCCCAATGTAGGCTGTCACCAAATTTGAAGATATTGGGTAAAACTTGTTTTAATTGTCAAGAGAGTTTGTTTAGCTAAGTATTCAATCTATAATTCCATCACTAGAGATCACAATGCTGTTACAACAAGGAATGCTGGGGACACTTTTACCCTGGGATGAAGATGAACTACCTGCTGGATGAGATGGCAGCACTTGGAGCTCTGTACCCGTAGGCATTGTTGACAACATGGGGGACATCCTGCTCCTTGCACAGCTTCCCAATCTCTTCCAAACTGAAACATTTTAACAAACATTAACAAGAGCTGTCAAGATCTGTCTACTACACCCACTGTCTACTACACCCTCCTGTCTGGCTCCCTGGGACTCCCTGTCTGCTGTATCCACTGTCTACTACACCCACTGTCTGGGACTCTACATCCACTGTCTACACACCCACTGTCTACACCCACTACACATACTGTCTACTACACCACTGCACACCCACTGTCTACTACACACCCACTGTCTACTACACACTGTCTACTACACATACTGTCTACTACACCCTGCTGTCTGGCTCCCTGGGACTCTCTGTCTACTACACCCACTGTCTACTACATCCACTGTCTACTACACCCACTGTCTACTACACCCACTGTCTACTACATCCACTGTCTTACACATCCACTGTCTACTACACATACTGTCTACTTCACATACTATCTACTACATCCACTGTCTACTACACCCACTGTCTACTACACCCACTGTCTTACACATTCACTGTCTTACACACTCACTGTCTACTACATCCACTGTCTACAACACCTACTGTCTACTACATCCACTGTCTACTATACCCACCTGTCTGGCACCCTGGGACTCCATGCCTACTACACCCACCTGTCTGGCACCCTGGGTCTCCATGCCTACTCACTATGCCTACTACACCCACCTGTCTGGCCCACCCACCTGGGTCTCCATGCCTACTACACCCACCTGTCCACCCTGTCTGGCACCCTGTCTGGCACCCTGGGTCTCCATGCCCACTACACCCCACCTGTCTGGCACCCTGGGTCTCCATGCCTACTACACCCACCTGTCTGGCACCCTGTTTCACTATGCCTACTACACCCACCTGTCTGGCACCCTGGGACTCCATGCCTACACCCACCTGTCTGGCACCTGGGTCTCCATGGCACCCCCTGGGTCTCCATGCCTACTACACCCACCTGTCTGGCTCCCTGGGACTCCATGCCTACTACACCCACCTGTCTGGCACCCTGGGACTCCATGCCTACTACACCCACCTGTCTGGCACCCTTGGACTCCATGCCTACTACACCCACCTGTCTGTCTGCTACACCCACCTGGGCACTCCATGCCTGGCACCCACCTGGGACTCCATGCCTACCTACACCCACCTGTCTGGCACCCTGGGTCTCCATGCCTACTACACCCACCTGTCTGGCACCCTGGGGACTCCATGCCTACTACACCCACCTGTCTGGCACCCTGGGACTCCATGCCTACTACACCCACCTGTCTGGCACCCTGGGACTCCATGCCTACTACACCCACCTGTCTGGCACCCTGGGACTCCATGCCTACTACATGCCACCTGTCTGGCACCCTGGGACTCCATGCCTACTACACCCACCTGTCTGGCACCCTGGGACTCCATGCCTACTACACCCACCTGTCTGGCACCCTGGGACTCCATGCCTACTACACCCACCTGTCTGGCACCCTGGGACTCCATGCCTACTACACCCACCTGTCTGGCACCCTGGGACTCCATGCCTACTACACCCACCTGTCTGGCACCCTGGGTCTCCATGCCTACTACACCCACCTGTCTGGCACCCTGGGTCTCCATGCCTACTACACCCACCTGTCTGGCTCCCTGGGACTCCATGCCTACTACACCCACCTGTCTGGCACCCTGGGACTCCATGCCTACTACACCCACCTGCCTGGCACCCTGGGACTCCATGCCTACTACACCCACCTGTCTGGCACCCTGGGTCTCCATGCCTACTACACCCACCTGTCTGGCACCCTGGGTCTCCATGCCTACTACACCCACCTGTCTGGCACCCTGGGACTCCATGCCTACTACACCCACCTGTCTGGCACCCTGGGACTCCATGCCTACTACACCCACCTGTCTGGCTCCCTGGGTCTCCATGCCTACTACACCCACCTGTCTGGCTCCCTGGGTCTCCATGCCTACTACACCCACCTGTCTGGCACCCTGGGTCTCCATGCCTACTACACCCACCTGTCTGGCACCCTGGGTCTCCATGCCTACTACACCCACCTGTCTGGCACCCTCGGGGTGAAGCAGCTCGTTGTGGACATGACACACAGAACGTTCTCTGCCCCCACCTCTGCCATCTTGTCCCGGATTGCTGCCACATCCGTCTGTAGCTCGTCACCAACAAGTCGGTTCTCTATCACGAGGGGCTGAAAACCTGGACAGAGAGGAGGACACTGTCAAATCTTGAATAACTCCAGTGTTTACGGAAGCCTGTTCAGCTTGGACAAGTGTTTGACAGCTTGGAGCAAGTCACAAGGACATACAGGGGACATTCTCCTTACAGCTATTACAAACTCAAAGGGACCTCTAATTCTAGTTGACACAGTTGTTTTTATTGTTGTTTGCTGATGATATGATTATGTTTGCGACTACTGTTGTTGGATTACATAGGCATATACATGAGCTGGAACATTATTGCAATGAGGCATGATTAACTGTTAATATTGAGAAAACTAGAATAGTTGTATTCAAAAATGGGGGCAAACTATCCAAAACGGAAAAATGGTATTATAAAGAAGAGCCACTCCAAGTCACACAATCATATAAATACCTTGGAGTCTCCTTCACAAATCGTCTTGGCTTTTCAGCACATGCTAAATATTGTTCCACACAAACCAAAATGGTACTTATTGGGGTTCTCAAAAGCATTCACAAACTCATAGATATTGATTATCATTCCTTTTTCAAAATATTTGATACAAAAATCCTTCCTATTCTATTGTATGGTTCAGAGGTATGGGGTTTCAATCATTTTGAGGTAATTGAGAAAATACATTTGAATACTTGCAAGAAATTTTTAGGAGTGAAAGCAAGTACACCTAATGCCATGGTATATGGAGATTGTGGAAGATTTCCCATACACATTTTTGCTAAAGCTAGAATAATAAAATATTGGATATGTCTGTTATATATGCCATCTGATAGATACCCTAGACAGTGTTATGGTATGATGTTAATGTACGATAACAACGGGAAGACTAACTGGGTGACTTACATTCGAGAATTGTTAAATACAATAGGTTTTGGGGAGGTATGGCAAAGGCAAAATGTTGACTTTCATACAAATTTTGTGAATAATGTTACTCAAAGGCTCAAAGATATATAGACAAGAATGGGTTGTAGCACTGTCATTGTCAAGTAAATGTTTCTATTATAGAATGTTTAAATCCCATATATACAGAGAGAATTATCTGTTTTCACTAAACATCAAGAAATTTCGAAAGGCATTTGCTCGGTTTAGGTGTTCCTCACATGACTTGACAATCAAAACAGGGAGATATCATAAAATAGAGAGGGAAAATAGAATTTGTACATTTGTGATCTCAATTATGTAGAAGATGAATATCACTTCCTCTTAATTTGCCCATTCTATTGTGAGTTAAGGAAAATAAATGTCCCAACATATTATTCTGTATATCCCGATAGGGTCAAATTTTCTTTGTTAAATGAGTACTGATGACAATGTTCTAATCCGTAAGTTGTCAACCTTTATCTATCAGGTATTGTCTCTAAGAAATAAACATAATAATTCATAGAATGTATGTACTTATATTGTTATTTGGTATGATATGGTATGATGTGGTGCGATATGATATGATATGATACATGGTATGATATGATATGATGTAATATGGTGAGTTATGATATGATGTGATATGACAAAGTATGTGTAATGCGATGTTATATGATGTGATACATTTTGATGTGATATGACATATTGTGATGTGACTATATTATTCTTTTCTATGATATTGTGTACTATGTTCTTGTATACTATGGGCCTGTGGCCTTCAGTATGAATAAAGATTGATTAATTCTAGTTAGTTCTAACCATACTTCATTATACACATTTAAACTAGAGTATACAGCAGGGGTTGTGGGAAGAAAAACACTATGTTATATCCGTCCATTTCTTATGAGTGAGTGAGTGAGTTTAGTTTTACGCCGCACTCAGCAATATTCCACCTATATGGCAGCAGTCTGTAAATAATCTAGTCTGGACCAGACAGTCCAGTGATCAATAGCATGAGCATCGATCTGCCGTGGGAACCAATGACATGTGTCAACCAAGTCTGCGAGCCTGACCACCCGATCCTGTTAGTCGCCTCTTACAACAAGCATGGGTTACTGAAGATCAATATTCTAACCCGGACCTTTACGGGGTCCATTTCTTATGAGCATGTTCTTTATAAACAACAGGTAAGATATACATATGTCACTGTATGTAAGATATAAACATGTTTGAGTGCAGATCCAATTTGTTTGGTTACGCTGGCACATTAGCTAATGTACACCTCGTTGTAAATGTAGCAGATTTCAACATTTCTCAGAACTAATTTGTCCTGAGATTGAGTGAGTGAGTTTAGTTTTACACCGCACTGAGCAATATTCCAGCTATATGGCGGCAGTCTGTAAATAATCGAGCTTGAACCAGACAATCCAGAGATTGATAGAATGAGCATCATTTTACACATTGGGATACGATGACATGTGTCAACCAAGTCAGTGTGTCTGACCATCTGATCCCATTAGTCGCCTCTTACGACAAGCATTGGTTGCTGAAGATCAGTTCTAACCCGGATCTTCACGGGTGCTCATGGTAAGTATAATAAGTGGTCCTACATCTATATTTGTAGCTTTTTTGTCGCACCTGCTGTGATGATGGACTTGAAGCATGACTTCTGGTCTATCCGCGGCCAGATGACATACTTAGCCTGGGGACGACGTAGTCGGAGAGTTGACATGCACAACACCAAACTCATCCCTGTTGCCATGGGAACAACAAAACAACCAGCTGCTGACTGAATACCTGAAGAACATGTTACATCATCAATAGTGATGGATCTGCGGACAGCAACATTCCTGCTACATCACCCTCCATGATGATAAACAGTTGGAACTTAGACAAGCACATTCTGACTTAGATTAAAGTTATACATACTAAAAAAAATTACCCATCAAATAGGGGCAAAATCAGTAGAAAAATCACTTAAAAAGTATAAAGAAAGCTGTTATGAGACTTAAATAAATATTGAATCTGTTTGATATACGAGGATATCATGTCATAGATATATATAAAACGTAAAAAAATCAAAACTTAACAAATGACAGAAAAGAAATGCAAGTTGTCATTCATTACATATTCTAACTTCATGAAAAGTTAATTTATCAATTTCCTTTTCCAAATGGTCTTAAGATCCAAAATTATGTAATTCCCCTTGTACCTGATAGTCTGATTACATCCAAGGCGAGGCTATTGGTCAGTTTCATCAGGACACTTGAACCAGCAGCTTTTGGTTGTATGGCGGATATGTCTCCTGAACGTCCGATGCCATGACCGAGTCTGTCACAAGAAAAATTATGAAAACAGTACCTTCACAAAGAATCAGGACAGTGAACCCGTTGAACTGCCCCTAAGAAAACCTTCCCAACTCTCATCTCCCAACATACTCAACCAGCACTGCCGAAAACTGTGTAGATTCATAACCTAAATTCACAGCGGTGTACTAGAACTACTTGGAAGTGCATTCCACTTTACAACAAATGACAGATGAGTCAATGGATGTTAAAACCTTCAACCGCAAACTGACAACAATGTGGTTGTCTTGAAATAGGGTGTGTGCACTGAAACATGAAACAATATTAGATACAGATGCATATAATAAAATCAGGAAACAATCTGCCCCCACCCCAAACAATGTTGTGGTTCTGATTTACCGACCGACCCTTGAATTCTGATGCCAACCCTATGTTTTATAAGCGGATTGAATAAAATAAGCTTTCAGATACCATTGTTTTTTCCCGGCACCAACAGATATCTGTCATTCTGATAGAGAAAGTCAATATGATGGCCGCAATCTTGATTGAATAAACAATTACACATTCATATTACACACTGATAAATGTGATATTAGTTTGTACTTTAGGGACCGTTCATAATTTATGGCTAGGGGTTGATGATGATTTTTATGGAGAAGCATGTACAATGTGAATGACCCCCCTAAAATTTATGTACAAAATAAGTGACCCCCCTGCATGTCATGTACAAAATCAGTGAACCCCTCTTCCCATAATTTCTAAGTATAATTTTAAACATATGTTTATGTACAAAATTGCTGACACCCCACCTGACCCCCCAGTATGTGTGTACAAAACTGTTGATCCCCTAGCTCCCCAGGAGAAAATTGGTCACCTCCTTGAAATCATCTACAACCCCTCTAGCCATAAAATATGAACGGTCCCTTACTTCTGAAAAAATATGTAAAAAAAAAATCCGACCTACCCATCCTAAATTTTTAAGAGGTGTAATTGGAATCACAACAGTTTTTTATTTGGCCTCTCTACTTGAAAGCAACACATAGTCAAAGAATTGCTATTTTGCTGAAAAAATATCCCCAAAGGATTTATATAACATGCTCAAAAGTGAGTGAGTGAGTGAGTTGGGTTTTACACCGCTTTTAGCAATATTCCAGCAATATCACAGTGGGGGGACACCAGAAATGGGCTTCACATATCATACCAATGTGGGGAATCGAACCCAGGTCTTTGGCCTGACAAGTGAACGCTTTAGCCATTAGGCAACCCTACCTGCCGATAACATGCTCAAAAGGTTACTGTAGATGCCCCTATAGATCCATGAGGGAACTGCTGTGTTCTAATTCAACACTACAGTGGGCTCCCTCTAAACTGACATTTTTCAACGGTCCCGAGTGATGTCGGTATAGGGGGATTCCACTGTACTTTCAAATGTTCAGCTGAAAGCAGACTTGCATTTTATTTGACAAAATTGACTTTAGTTCCTGGCTTTCCTTGTGTTGCGGCATTTTATGCCCTTTAAAAACTCCCAGTATCCTCAAAGCATTCAATAACTGGCTTATTTACTGTACGAACAACACAAGGTGAGGTGAGGTGAAATTGGGTTTAACGTCGTACTTGAGAATATTTCGCTCATATGACGACGTGCATGCGTGTGTATGTGTATGTGCGGCTGCTTGTACAAGCCCAGACTGAAACTGGTTTTATAGTGCTAGCCCACTGAGATACCATGTCGCAGTGAAGCATGAATACCCCACTCAGACACATTATACTGACTCCGAGCCGACCAGTCCTTGTTGTACCCATTAATGCCGAACGCCAGGCAGGGACCAACAAGCACCAAATTTTAACGTCTTTTGGTATGACGCGGTCGGGGATCGAACCTGCGACCTTCCACTCTCCGGGCGGACGCTCTAACCACTACACCACGGAGGCGGTACTAACAACACAAGAAACATAACATTCAACAAATATCCAACTTGCATGTTTTCTACTTAACAAACCTATAATGTCGCTTGGCAACCAGACCAGATGCGATCCTGGCTTCACGCTCACCAACACCACAGTTGCCCATGAAGTTGTTGCTGTCCATGACAGCGAGCTCCTGTAGCAGCAGCTCAATTGTCTGGTCACTCCATCCCTCCTCTGGCAACTTCCTCTGCAACAAGTAACATACAGCACATGTGTTCACATGTTGCCATACAGGTTACACAACCCCAAATCAGAATTTGTTGTTTAGGCCAGACCAATTTTATTTCTTGTTTTACAGATTTTTGTCCTCAGAAAACCTAAAGGCAGGAGGGAAAAAAAATAAATATAAAAATCACCAGTCAAAGTAATATTACTCAGAGGCCAAGATAAGCTGCGTATCCGGGTAAAATACGCATAGAAAATTTTCAATTACGCATTGAAAAATAATTGTTGTGTACCAATTTCGCATTTAAACTGTTAGATACGCAAAGAGTTTAAAACAAATGCGTACGGAATATACTTATAAAAATCGCTTGCGTAATGAAATAGACATCGATTGCTATCAATTTGTACTGTTAGTATAGGACAAGTGTTGTACTGTCAGTATAGGATGACTGATTTTTTATCAAATATCATTTCCCTTATATTTAAGTTGGTTTTGAGTAGGTATGACATAAGGCAGAACATACCTGCTTAGTAAACTTACTCAATGACACAATACTTAGGTAGGTAAAATGACTGAAATACTCACATATTTGAAAGCAGTGGGTAACGGAAAATGAAATACCCACTCAACATTCATAATACCCACTCCAAAAAAATACAGTGGGTACAGTACCCACATTAGCTAAATCTTATCTGGAGCTCTGTTACTTTTATATACTAAAAGTGTTTACTTTTGGCAATTTATAAAATGTATATGGGGCAGAAAACAATCCCACCAATATTTTTTGTAAGTCTACATATTTGGCCAATAAAAACATTAGGATTATATTTTTTGAGCAGGGAAAATTAATTATTTTTTTCTTATTCCTGAAAAAATACGACCGGCTGATCCGTAAAACAAGAAATAAAATTGGTCTGGCCTTAACAAGCACTTTTCCTAGGGAGCCTTCAGTGCACACTGAATCATTTGACAGCTGTGATTGGGTAATTTTGTGTAAGATTTTTGTGCATTTAAATGTACATCCATCCACAGGGATTTACAGGACGTGAATTCCTGCGTCCTATACTCATAAAAATTGACAATGGACGCAACCAAATTTATTAGCACGTCCACAGGGACTCAGAAAAAGTCCAAATACTTTTTGTAAAAATTCCAATCAAGTGACAGTAAGTTACCACTGAGTGTGCTACTAGCTGGGTTATGGTATTATTTGCAATTTAATTACTGTAACAATGTGATGATCATGATACACAATACAATAACAGTGTTAATAATAGCATTTAAGTGTCTGGGACTCCCATTTTGTTGTCCAGGACCCCTGAAAATTAAGAGTATGAGTTCCAGGGACCCTCAAATACAGGACTCCATGCAAGTCCCTGCATCCATTCATTTAAACTGACCATATCTTTAATGACTCATACTGAATGTGATCCCAGGTATAATCAAGCAGCTGACATTTTGTGTGGAACTGGGGTTGGTCTGTTTAGATTACTGAACTCGGAACAGGACTGACGGACTGACTGAGTTTGGTTTTACGCCACTTTTAGCAATATTCCAGCAACATCATGGCGGGGGACACCAGAAATGGGCTTCACACACTGTACCCATGTGGGGATTTGAATCCGGGTCTTCGGCGTGACGGGCCAACGCTTTAACCCTCAGGCTACCCCACCGCCCTCGAACAGGCGAGGTGAGGTGAGGTGAAATTGGATTTTACGTCGTGCTTGAGAATATTTCGCTCATATGACGACGTGCATGTGTGTGTATGTGTATGTGCGGCTGCTTGTACTAGCCCAGACTGAAGCTGGTTTTATAGTGCTAGCCCACTGAGATACCATGCCGCAGTGAAGCATGAATACCCCACTCAGACACATTATACTGACTCCGAGCCGACCAGTCCTTGTTGTACCAATTAATGCCGAGCACCAGGCAGTGACCAACAAGTACCATATTTTAACCCTTAGGCTACCCCACCGCCCTCGGAACAGGAGCTGGCTGAGGTGGTTGTATTTGAAACATATATTGCTTCTTTAAGGCCAGACTCTACACATATGTACATGTAATAGCAGTTGGTGGCTTACTTAATTTCGTTTTAAATATAAGGCCAGACCAATATTATTTCTTGTTTTACGGATCCGCAGGTCATATTTTTTCAAGAATAAGAAAAAAATATAAATTAATTTCTCCCGCTCAAAATATAAATGCTCATGTTTTTACTCATTCTCTTCCCACAGAGGTTACTTGTCATATCTTCCTACGAACCTCTGTTCCAATACGGCCCTTTCATGGTGAGAGTGTTCAGAATTTGTGATTGGTTGCAATCAGATTTAGTTGTGCAATCAGCGACATTGTTTCAAAAGTGATCATTTGCAAGGCCTCGGTAATTTCCGCATGCTCCGGGAAACAAGAACCTCTTCCCCTGCGCAATGCGCAAACGTTTCTTCTAGACAGAACTCAGTCACGGCGGATCGATGGCGGATCTCCATCACCCTCGTCAACAATGGACAATCTACCCATTAAATATCTTGTTTGCACATCAACACAATTTGTGGCCCAACATTTGCTTGTATATATTAGTCAAGTTGGATCTAACCTCGATGTAACACGTGCTCTGATTGGATAGAAACAAGGGAGATAATTCATGTTGCGATTTTTTGCCGCTAGGGGATTTTACGAGAAACGGGAAATATGCCCATATTAGAACAGAGGTTTGTAGGAAGATATGACAAGTACCTATGTGGGAAAAGAATGGTTTTTACTGGCTAAATATGTAAACCTACAAAAAATAATTTTTTATTGTTTTTGACCCATATAAACTTCATAAATAGCCAAAAATAAAATACTTTTAGTATTTAAACGGAAAATTATTTTGACCAGTGATGTTTATTTTTTATTTTTTTCCCTCCTGCCATTAGGTTTTCTGAGGGCAAAATCCGTAAAACAAGAAATAAAATTGGTCTGGCCTAACAATATTATAGAGGTCAGTGGGAAAATATTTGGTTTTGTGTAACCTTTAGTGAGGGAATAAAGTTTCAGTATGACATTAAGTGCCACCAGCACTCATTCATACACACACAAAAACCAACCTAAACTATTTCCAAATGACATTCAATAATAGGAACCATGCCAGTTTACACTTGTCAAGTGGATACACAAAGTATATGATCAAGATTACCAGTTGTCAGACTTCCATTTTTGTGGGAGCTGTGGTAGCTGAGTGGGTAGTATTAGTAACTTTGGTCTATAGTTATTTAATACAAAGGGTTGCCAAGAAAAGTTAAAGTGCATTCAAGTAGGGTAAAGCATTGCTAAGTGAGTGAGTGAGTTTAATTTTACACTGCACTCAGCAGTATTCCAGCTATATGGCGGCGGTATGTAAATAATCGAGTCTGGACCAGACAGTCCAGTGATCAACAGCATGAGCATCGATCTACACAATTTGGAACTGATGACATGTGTCAACCAAGTCAGCGAGCCTGACCACCCAATCCTGTTAGTCGCCTCTTACGACAAGCATGGGTTACTGAAGATCAATAGTCTAACCCAGACCTTCACGGATACATTGCTAAGTAAAGCTACAGGTAGTTTAATAAGGTAATGCAGTGTTATATAAAGTTTAAGTGTAGCTATATAACATGAAAGTGTAGCCCTAAAGACTAATCATAACTCACATGTTGCAACAGGTAGCGAATCTTGCTCTCGTGGATCTGCCTGGCTTGCACCCCTTGGCCGACATATGATCCTGGTACTAACTTCTCACACAGCTGCCGAATCTCCTCATTCATCCTGCCGACCTGAACATGATGATCATTGAATCAATGATACACTGAATATTATACATGGTGAAGTCAACACTAAGGATTATGTGAATGGGCGTTTACATGCCTGAACGGAAGCAAGGCACATCTATATAAGGGAGGTAACCCAGAAAACACACTGACATTGGGCCAATATTTGATACATTCTAGTATGTCACAGTTGGCATGGTGATGATATTGTGCCAACAATTTGCCAACATCGTATATGAACTTACATAATTTCCTATGTTTTAAATAATTAAAAAACCCACAAACAACAGAAATTCAGTTTAATCACATCAACACACTTTACAAGTCCTTTGTATAAATGGCATTTTATATTATTTTTCCATTATTATTTTGGTTTGCATATCTACCACGCCCTTTAGGATTCAAATTTTCCTTGTGTTTGGGAAATATCTGATTAGTGAATTGATCCTTTTCTGTTTGAGAAAATTAGCTGGATACATAAATAACCTCTTGCTTTAGTGAAAGGTACTGATATTGTTAAAGAAATCATCAATTTCAAATTAACTCAATAAATTTCATCTATACAGAGCATTAACACTATATACAGCAGGTGGCCATATTATTACGTACAATTGTAATTTCATTTTGATTTTCAGTACTTTTCATAAATTCATTTTCAATATTAATTCCATGATTGCAACCAACGATTTCAGAATTTGTTGTTTACATCAATGACCATGAAAAACGTGTTTCCGGAAGTTATATTCGAGGATGAAGATTTTGACGGTCCTGTTCAGTACGTTTGTGACTGAGGATGACAGCACTCATATTTCGTTGCATTAATGGTAACGTTTCAGCAGTATCAAACTAAGCTATATAGAGTAAACTATTCATACAACCTTGTCACGTTAGCACAGTCCGACCAGAATCAACACCGACGACCGCTCCACATGTCCGTAACCGTGTAAGGAGTATGAGATAACTCTAGTCAAACATAGATGCAGACCGCTATAAAAACAGTTTGTATTTACACTGCTTTTCTTGTGTATATGTTGTGAGAGTTTAAATTTCCACCCTTTAATTCCTTATTAATATCTAATTGTGCGTTTTATTTCAACAAAATAGGCCAAAGATCGCGTAATGATGTCATCTTCATGTCGTTTAATTCAGAGTATGTCAGGATATGAAACTCCCACAAATTTCAGCCAGACCACAGGGCTGGTTGGATGTAAAACTTGCCAGCCCTGACCAAAACTTACCTGCCCGCGAATAATTTAGGTTTCACAAGCGACGTAGTTTATCATCAATTAATAAGATTTATTATCCTGAAATATGATGGATATCTTCATATACATGTCTAAATTTTAACCCGACCGTCGGACAGGTGAATTTGAGAATCTGGCAGTCCGTGCTGAAAATAACTCGTCCCGGGTGGTCGGGCAGGTATTTCGAACGCTGACTATGTACTCCATGTGATTTGTTTGATTGTTTGTTTATTGTTTAACGCAGAATTCAGCAACGTTCCAGTTATATAGCGGTTTGTAAATAATCAAGTCTGGACCAGACAATCCAGTGATCAACAGCATGAGCACCGATCTACGCAATTTGGATACGATGACATGTGTCAACCAAGTTACTCCATGTGAGATATATGGAACCCATTTGTAGGCCAAAAATGTTTGTCAGAATTTCTGACTTGAATTGCGGCTGCACACAATGACAAATTATATGCATGATTATAGCTTTATCTCCTCGCCCATCACTTGTGACATCTTAGCGTATAGTAAATTACGCTTGAGTATCATCTATTACTCTTGTTTGGGAATTATCGTTCCGATCTCTCAACTTCAGATAGATCCAAACCAAAGCCCGAGAGTCTTGAAACGAAGCCTTAAAGCCAGATTACCGAGGATTTTATTTTGGCAGTAAGTGGCGTAAATCCACTCGTCGCTTTCACTGGGGGGCGTATATACAATAAAAGAAGTTTTAAAAATATACGAGCTTTAAATTACCAAACTCTTTGATTGACCTTGGTGTAAGAAAGTTACACCTTCATTTCCTCAGCTAGTACGTGTTTACCTAAATTTTATTAACTCTTTTACTGGAAAGTTCCTTTTGATGTTATATGTATTATTCATTTTTCATACAATCCCTTTTCAGCAAGACTTCCAAAGTGAGGCTTTGAAGCTCTTAAACCCAGGTGGCGTTCAAACATTTCTGATAAATAGCAATCTTCATTTTTTCGACTGCTATGATGAATTGTAAGATAAAATTGTCTTCTCAGTCGAAATACATGTATACGGTAATAGGTGCGAGCGTAGAAAATGTGCTCTCAATCATTAATTAGAATATAATTATGTGCTCTCAATTGTTAATGAGAATGTAATTTAGTTATCATCAAATGCCCAAAATAATGCTAGTGTTAGACATTTACCCAGAATGAAAGAACCATAATAACTGCGAAGCTTGCCCCGGCTCCGGCAAACCCAGGGGAAGCAACTCTGCTTGACGACGGTCACGCCATAGGTAAACTAGATGAACGAGCTAAAAGGAACTATAACAACACTGTATCGTGGTGTTCGTGACAGTCAAACCAATTTTTTTAGCGGGATTTGTGGATCTATTAAGAGGTGCCCATGGCACCTGTCAGCACGCGAATGACACGACCTGCTCACGAGTTTATGGCCTTGGAACGAGTTCTATACGTTGTCTTCTATGACCCACCTTTTGATTTGCTGATCGACTTCTGACCTGCTTTGGAGATTTGTTTAGCAATACTATACCGTGTTCATAGGGGGCTTAAACACACGTTGCCAGAGTGTACATTAAGAAATACAACACTATACAAGGGTGTTCATCAGGAGCTACAACAACATTATACCAGGGTGTTCATCAGGTGCTACAACAACACTATATCAGGGTGTTCATCAGGAGCTACAACAACACTATATCAGGGTGTTCAACAGGAGCTACAACAACACTATACCAGGGTGTTCATCAGGAGCTACAACAACACTATACCAGGGTGTTCATCAGGAGCTACAACAACACTATACCAGGGTGTTCATCAGGAGCTACAACAACATTATACCAGGGTGTTCATCAGGAGCTACAACAACACTATACCAGGGTGGCAACAGGAGCTACAACAACACTATACCAGGGTGTTCATCAGGAGCTACAACAATAATATACCAGGGTGTTCAACAGGAGCTACAAAACTATATCAGGGTGTTCATCAGGAGCTACAACAACACTATATCAGTGTGTTCAACAGCAGCTACAACAACACTATACCGGGATTTTCACCAGGAGCTACAACAACACTATATCAGTGTGTTCAACAGCAGCTACAACAACACTATATGAGGGTGTTCATGAGGAGCTACAACAACACTATACCAGGGTGTTCATCAGGAGCTACAACAACACTATATCAGTGTGTTCAACAGCAGATACAACAACACTATACCGGGATATTCACCAGGTGCTACAACAACACTATATCAGTGTGTTCAACAGGTGCAACAACACTATATCATATCAGGGCTGTTCATAGCAGGGTGTTCAGGAGCTACAACAACAGGGTGTTATACCAGGGTGTTCAACAGGAGTGTTACTACAACAACACTATACCAGGGTGTTCATACAACAACATTATACCAGGGCTCACAACAGCAACACTATACCAGGGTGTTCAACAGGAGCTACAACAACACTATATCAGGGTGTTCATCAGGAGCTACAACAACACTATACCAGGGTGTTCAACAGGAGCTACAACAACACTATACCAGGGTGTTCAATAGGAGCTACAACAACACTATATCAGGGTGTTCAACAGGAGCTACAACAACACTGTACCAGTGTGTTCAACAGGAGCTACAACAACATTATACCAGGGTGTTCAACAGGTGCTACAACAACATTATACCAGGGTGTTCAACAGGAGTGTTACAACAACACTGTACCCAGGGTGTTCAACAGGTGCTACAACAACACTATACCAGGGTGTTCATCAGGAGCTACAACAACACTATACCAGGGTGTTCATCAGGTGCTACAACAACACTATATCAGGGTGTTCAACAGGAGCTACAACAACACTGTACCAGTGTGTTCAACAGCAGCTACAACAACACTATACCAGGGTGTTCAATAGGAGCTACAACAACACTATATCAGGGTGTTCAACAGGAGCTACAACAACACTATACCAGGGTGTTCAACAGGAGCTACAACAACATTATACCAGGGTGTTCAACAGGTGCTACAACAACACTATACCAGGGTGTTCAACAGGAGCTACAACAACACTATATCAGGGTGTTCAACAGGTGCTACAACAACACTATATCAGGGTGTTTTCAACGGGAGCTACAACAACACTATACCAGGGTGTTCAACAGGAGCTACAACAACACTATACCAGGGTGTTCAACAGGAGCTACAACAACACTATATCAGGGTTTTCAACAGGAGCTACAACAACACTATACCAGGGTGTTCAACAGGAGCTACAACAACACTATACCAGGGTGTTCAACAGGTGCTACAACAACACTATATCAGGGTGTTCAACAGGAGCTACAACAACACTGTACCAGGGTGTTCATCAGGAGCTACAACAACACTATACCAGGGTGTTCATCAGGAGCTACAACAACACTATACCAGGGTGTTCAACAGGTGCTACAACAACACTATATCAGGGTGTTCAACAGGAGCTACAACAACACTATACCAGTGTGTTCAACAGGAGCTACAACAACACTATACCAGGGTGTTCAACAGGTGCTACAACAACATTATACCAGGGTGTTCAACAGGTGCTACAACAACACTATACCAGGGTGTTCATCAGGAGCTACAACAACACTATACCAGCATGTTCATCGGGAGCTACAACAACACTATACCGGGATTTTCATCAGGTGCTACAACAACACTATATCAGGGTGTTCAACAGGAGCTACAACAACACTATACCAGGGTGTTCAACAGGAGCTACAACAACACTACACCAGGGTGTTCAATAGGAGCTACAACAACACTATATCAGGGTTTTCAACGGGAGCTACAACAACACTGTACCAGTGTGTTCACCAGGAGCTACAACAACATTATACCAGGGTGTTCAACAGGTGCTACAACAACACTATACCAGGGTGTTCAACAGGAGCTACAACAACACTATACCAATGTGTTCATCAGGAGCTACAACAACACTATACCGGGATTTTCATCAGGTGCTACAACAACACTATATCAGGGTGTTCAACAGGAGCTACAACAACACTGTACCAGTGTGTTCAACAGGAGCTACAACAACACTATATCAGGGTGTTCAACAGGTGCTACAACAACACTATATCAGGGTGTTCAACAGGAGCTACAACAACACTATACCAGGGTGTTCAACAGGAGCTACAACAACACTATATCAGGGTGTTCAACAGGTGCTACAACAACACTATATCAGGGTGTTCAACAGGAGCTACAACAACACTGTACCAGGGTGTTCAACAGGAGCTACAACAACACTATACCAGGGTGTTCAACAGGAGCTACAACAACACTATATCAGGGTGTTCAACAGGAGCTACAACAACACTATACCAGGGTGTTCAACAGGAGCTACAACAACACTATACCAGGGTGTTCAAGGGTGTTCAGGGTGTTCAACAGGAGCTACAACAACACTATACCAGGGTGTTCAACAGGAGCTACAACAACACTATACCAGGGTGTTCAACAGGAGCTACAACAACACTATACCAGTGTGTTCAACAGGAGCTACAACAACACTATACCAGGGTGTTCAACAGGAGCTACAACAACACTATACCAGGGCTACAACAACACTATACCGGGAATTCATCAGGTGCTACAACAACACTATATCAGGGTGTTCAACAGGAGCTACAACAACACTGTACCAGTGTGTTCAACAGGTGCTACAACAACACTATACCA